AGCAGCTGACGTAAGTCTTCTCCTGAACATGTTCAGATCTTTTAGGGGATTTTGCTGTTACCAACTCAGCAACTTTCTTGCTATATTTAGCAGCATTTCAAACAAACAAAAAAAATTGTATCGCAAGGCTTCCCCCCATAAAACTTGTTAAGCCTCGTGGTTGTTTGCTCGCCAGTCATTCATCCAGCGGCCTGTCGTGTTTTAAAAATGTTTAAAGTTGATATGAAATTTGAAAATATCACTTGATAATTATGTGCTATTGGGAGATTAATAACTGAACACCAGTCTTAAGAAATGCAAACATTTAAAATAAACTTATAAATAAGCAATGCTAAGCCTGGTGGCCCGCCAGGCTTATATATAGTACAGTGGGGGGAAACTCTGGTATCAGCCAAAATTGGAGGCGGCAAGTCAAACGTCTTAAAAATTGGTCATCTGCAATTGGCCAGAACACAGATGTATTAAAAAACAGAAAAAGTTTGAACTTCAGTGAGAGTATCTTTTTAAGTACATTTTAATATTTAACAAACCGTATTAATATGGTTAAAATAACAACTGATGCTGTCCAATCATTGTCTTCAGTGTGAAGAGCAAAGAACATTTCGACTTAAACGCAAGCTGCTAGTCGTTACGTTTCAAATTGTATTGAAAAACGTTTGTCATAAAACCCAAAAGGGATCAGTGCGACATGTTCTGATCCGTGTCTTTCTGACCCAGGACCATCCCACCAGAGCAGCAGGCCGAGGCAGATGAGCTGGCTGCCACTCTCTCTGAGCTGCAGGCCATCACCGTGCATGAATACCAGGAAGTGGTAGGAACTGACACTGACACACACACTGTCGAAGTTGTGGTGTGTAATTATGTGTTCAGTTAAAGTCTGACACTGCAGTTTCCCTTTCAGAACGTCAAAAACGATAACATTGCAGAGTGGAAAACCAAAATAGCAGAGAAGACGCAGAAGCTGGTATGTGATCCGGATTCGTATGTCTAAGCTCGTCGAGTCTCTGCTGTGTCATTAGACACATCTGTGTGTGTCTGTTTGTGTTTTAGTCCCAAGTGAAGGTGGACCTCAGTAACCTGAAAGAGGACATCACCAAACTCAAGTCTCAGATCGTGGAGTCTCCAGAAGAACTGAAGAGTCAGATGGAGAAGATGAAGGAAGCTGCGAAGAAAATCAAGAACTCCATAGTAAGTAGGAAAATGTTTGGTCTGCAGATGTAACTCGATCTTTACTGTGTTGCGCTGGTTACTAGTTGAAGGATTAAACCTTCTTGGAAGACAGTTCTCCGTTTATTCTGACGAACAACAAACAGAAAACCAAGTCATTGGCCGCCTTCACCAAATCCTGCATAAAATAAAGTACATAACAATCTAAGGTCAACTCTAAATCTATAAACTGGATGTATTTGGGTGAAAAATAACCAACTTCTGCAGGACAACATTGCATAAAGTTAGGGCTTAAGAGTGCAAATGACTGGACAAAATAATACCACAGAAAGAAGAAATAAAGATTAGGGGCGGCTGATCTTAATGTCACACCACAGCAGTTTCTGAAGTGTTTAGTCAAGTATAAGAACAATCTGGGTAAGAGAAGACATTTTATTATGACATAGAAATACAATTCTGTTACACAATCAGAGCCAATATGTTGGGATTTCTCACACACCTGTTTGATTTAAAAAATAATAATTTTACTTACAGGCAGTAACAGAAGAGTATGTGGTGGAGATAGAAAACAGGGTGCAGAGCTTGGCACACACTGAGTCTGAGTTCCAGCAGATAAACGGCATGCTGCAGGACCTGGAGATCAGCATGAACAACATCAGGCTGCGTGAGGAAGAGGTACGCTCAACTCTTACATCCACCTGGGTATCGGCTTTCAAATCCCTAAGCTTCCTTCTTTTTCAGAGACGATGTGTCTGACTGAGCTGTCGTTCGGTGTTTAGATGCTCAATGCTAGAAGAGACATATACAGCCACAAGACGATTCCACAAAATAAATGCACCACGTTTCCTATTTTTATTTGTAGACATTTTTCCATTCACATAATTATTCAGTCACTTGTGTTGCTCTGCTGGATGAAACCCCAACAAAATATAAACAGAATAGCTGTCAGAGTGAGGAAATATGACCTAATGTTCACTATAGAACACATTCAGCAGAAAATGGTAATGGAGAAACAATATTTAAACTGTTTATTTTTCTAATGTTGCATATTAACAGCACCAGGAGCTGTCGAGTCAAAACGAGAAGATGCAAAAGGAGCTGAAAAGTCTGTTCAGCGAGGAGGCCCAGCTGAAGCGGGCTCTGGGCAAGAAGCTGGATAAGGAGTGCAAACAGAACATCCGCAGACAGATGAAGAGAGAGACGAAGGAACAGCATGTCCAGGAAGTGTTGGGGTACCGACTCAAACGTCTCGAACCGTAGAATTAACCTGAGCAATGTGTTCGTTTGACAACCTAACACTAGCTGTTCTCCAGCCAGTTGAACCAAATCCACCAGAATCGTGAGGAGATAGCGGATAAGATCCAAGCGATGACAGCAGAGACCCGTCAGCTGAAGGCCAAGATCAAGAGCCTGAGAGACAACTGCAGCAAAGACACGGAGAAGGCTCAGGTACTTTTGATGATAGGGCAATCTTTGATGGTTTGCGGAGTTCCAGAACGCAACCAGATTTCTCAGTGGTACTACTTAAAAAAAAAAAAAAAAAATAGAAGAAAGAAATCTCAGATTGCACCGGTAAAACCAGTCATTCCAGGAAATGACTGAAAACCACTGAAAGTCTCCCTGCAGTCCATTGACACTCATTAGGCCCAAACTAATGATTCCTCTAAACCAGTGGTTTTCTAACATTTTCATGCTGAGGATCTCTTTACACAGTTAACAAAAGCTCACAGACGACCTGAGTCGAAATCGGCCCCACAAAAATACATCGTAATATATACAATCTGAAATGAAAATTAGTCTCTTAACTCACTTTGTTCATTCATGCCATTTGTTAAATATAACCGGTCACAACAAAATCGTCATGAACACGTCTTCTCCCGGCATTTTAAGTTATTTACAGATTCTGCAAGTGTGAATTTTAATCCTTCTAATAATATAAAACACATAAAAATAAAAAAGAATAAGTTGTTTTTAGTGCAAAGTGTTGTATTAATATTAGACATATTTGTAATTTAGAAACACAATAGAATAATAAAAATAGAGTTGAGTTGCTTTGCTAAAAACGAAAATCCTCTTCTGCACTATTGAATATAAAATTATCCCAATTTCTGCCAATTGTATTTATCTATTCTATTTATTTGCTGCTTACTTAGTTTCTAATTAAATAATAATAACAATAGCTATTGAAGTGCGAGCAGAGCATTGTAAGCAGGCAAAATTGTACACAACAAAGAACAGTTCTCTGGGACTTTACCGTTCACAGCACAGAATCGCTGAAAAGAATCGAGTCGTTCGTGAACGACACACAATGCTCTCAGCAGGTATGACTTCCTCCGATCATAGAAGCATTCCCGCCGTTGTTTTCGTTTTATCTGTATCTTCAGTTTTTCTTTGGAGAAACTCGATTTTAAGCAATTTATGCATTATTTTTTTTAGCACAATCCCCTGCTAAGCCCACCGCAGTGTTGCACTTCGCTATGGTGGGCTCATGTCACGGCTATTAAAGGGTCGTTTACATCCACTATGCTGACCACTGGGGGACGAGTGCTGCAGTCAGGCTGACTCTCCTTCGTTGGAATTTCGTGGCTTCTGCAGTTTCGGTGGAAACTAGAAATTGGATCAAACGAATTAGGAAGAACTGTTCCAGTTCTCGAGTTTTGTTATGCACTCCTAAACCTGAGTGAAACTGTTAAATCAGGGGTGTCCAAACTTTTAATCACACGGGTCAAAAATACTCCCAGACGAAACAAACCAAACTTTAAAAAGAAAAGAAGAAATAACTTCTAGTTATTTGCTTAACAATTTACTGAGCATGCAATATTTGGGTTTTGGGTTAGAAAAGCACTTATTTGTAGTTTAGATTCTTTTATCTTGATGTTTAAATTTTACCTATTTGAAGCACTTTGAACACGTTTTCAGTAAAATACCTGTCTTGTACAATTGTGCATCAAACACACTTTGACAGATTAATCATTTTCAAGACATGTTCCTTTTTTGCTGGACAGTGATTTATTGATTTATCTTGTTAAATGTGATGCAGTTGAAAATTTGGGTGTGCCTAACTAAACTGTTGAACCTAAAAAAGAAAAATGTTGGTCAAAAACGTAAGTCAGAGAACTTGGCTTCATGGTGGAATATGTTCCTGTTTCCAGGCGCTGTTTGACGCTCTGTCAACATCAATGGATGGTCTTCACAAGAGGATCGAGATGCACATTATGGACCTGAAACTTCAACAAGATGTCTAACTTTTCCATATATCTAACTTGTTTTTTTCTCTCTGCCTGTAGTTTTTTATTTAATAATCTTTGTGAATTAACTTTACTGTCTGGTTGGCTAATGAGTGAAATAAATTCTAGTGTCAACATTTTTTCTCTCTTTGCTACTATTAGAAATTAATGAATGAACTGAATATTAGAAAAAACTTTTGACAAATGTTCAGATTAAGTTGGGATCGGCTTACACTCATTAAATAAATACAGAATCCTAAAAACCAGAAGAGCAACACTCATTGAGATTAAAAAAACCTCATTTGCGTGTTATAGTTTGTACATAAACTCTGGATGTACTTTTTTTTTTAAACACATTTTGGTAACACTATTTAAAGAGGTGTGTATAACACTGACATGACATAACACCTGTCTGAACATGAAGTCTTTATGAATGAAACTTGTATTAAAAGCGTCATTTACAGCATGACACTTCATGACAACAGTTGTAGACATTCATGTAGACTCCTTAATTTTCCTGACAATGTCATGTCAGTCTGATGTACAACCCTTCATATAAAGTGTCCTCCAATTTTTTAGAAGTTGAAGTACACGGTGAACAACGTAGATTTGTACCTATAAAAATCCTTTTTTTATTTGTCCACGTAAATGTCAAAATCCTCTAAACAAGGAGGGGCTCAGTTGATCCCGCCATGTAAAGCTTGCTCTTCAGCTCCTTGCTTTCCAAGTGGGATGCGACCTGGACTATTGTAGGAGGCCTTACTGAACGTTGCCGTCTTTGTCCTTGCTCCGCTCGACATGCAGTGCTTTGCGTAGTTCGTTGATTTCGGTAACAAGAGCCACATTGTCCTGCAGAGAACAAAGACATCATTAGCAGCTGATGAATATGTTGAAGATCAGTTTTGATCAGTTACTCAGTACTTAAGTTTTTTACTGGAGTAAAAATATATTTAAGTAGTTCTAATCTTACAATTCTTGGGTACCCAGCCCACCTCTGCATGAGACCCACCAAGATTTTCTTTCACCAGCTGCTACTGAGATCAGACCTTCCTATAATGCCCACTGCAATAAACATGGGGGAAACACTGATCTATAATTGTAGTTTTTACCTTCATCATCTTGGTGTAGACATCATCGTGCTGTTTGGCAGATCTGACCAGCTTCTTCTGAAGACTGCTAACAGTCATCTCCAGTTGACCACATTGAAAGCACACACTCTTCTTAGCGTCAACTGCGCCGCTCCTCTTTGCCTAGAAAAAACAAGGATTCAGATTCTCTCGTGCAGGGTAATTCAATCTCACCGATGTAAATGACATGCGTCGAACTAACACTTGACAATTGGTTCTTACACTCTCTGTGCCTGAGGCGTATCGGCTGTATATCGTCAAAATGTTGTCTTTCAGTTTCCTGGGATCCGTGATGAAGGAGACACAAACCTCGAGGTCTGACCTGACCCGCTCAAGAAGCGTTGACAAATCCTGCACCTGTACATAGAAAGTCAGATGTAGAAACTTCCCCAACCATTTTCAGCATCAGCAACATTAGTCAGAGAAAAAAATAGAGCCATCTTCCATTTTCATATTGATATCTTGAATTCAGACTGCTGTCGAGCATTAGCTACCTTCTAGATTGGATGCCTTTCTTTTTTAAAACAAACTACTTTGGATTTTAAGTAAGAACAAAATGAGCTCTATGTGTGTGTGTGAACCAGGTTTTTAGGTCTTGTGGGGTCCTTTTTCTGTCTACAGTGTGGAGATGTGGGGACCACCGCTTTTTGTGGGGACCTTTTCTTGGTCCCATAGGGGAGAAATGCTGCCTTTGGGTTGGGGATAGTTTGTGGTAGGAATAGAGGTAGAGTAAGAGTTAAGCTGTAAAAACTGAATGTAAGACAACGTAAAGTCCCCTCAAGACATGAAATCACGACCGTGTGTGCGCGCACTGACCTTTTGCATCTCCTTTTGGATTTCTTTGTCTTTGGTCCTCAGTCTGAGCCTTAGGTCAGATATGGTGACTTTCAGATGAGAGCTGCTCTTGGTGATGAACATGAGCTCGTCCTCAAGCTGTTGTAAAAGGATTATCAATCGTCTTTGATGCGACATGTTTTGTTCATACAAGGATAGAGAGAAGCCTGCACACCTGAGTTTTATCACATCATTTTATGGACAACGTAAATGACATCAGGCAAACGTTTGGACTGCGATAACACGGCAATTATGGTCACTCTACAAAGAGTGTGGAGGCGTCAATGTTATCAATGCATGTCCATATCGCCAAACAACAAAACCCAGGATTGCAAAGTGTTCCCTTAGTTAGAAATGACTAGTTCCCTTCTTTTTTTGCAAAATTATAACACATACAAACATGAAACAAAGAAAAAAAAATCAACCCTTTTAAAGTCAGCTAAAATGAGTTAAGACAGCAGTTGTCTTTTGTAGATGCATGCAGGCAAAACAAAATGGCAGCTCATGCTGATGGCTACTTTAATCATGTTATTTCATCCCTTTGAAATACAATGGAATGGAAGACCATTGTATTCCATCTCATTGTAAGAAGATTCAATTATTACAAATAAAAAGAACAAAGTCCGGATGAAACTCCAACTCCCCCTGCCTGGAGCCAATCTAGAATTTTCCGAGCCCTCTCACGTACCTTTTGTATCATTTCTGCTTTCTTGTTTATGTCTTCCTGGTGTGGCTTGATCTGCTTCTTCATCTCCTTCAGCTTGAATTCCAAGATGACCTTCAAATTCTGCAGATCCTTGTTCATAGTATCCAACCTGGATATGACTTTGTCCTGCATGAGAATGGGCAGAGGTGGACTGTTTACTCTGGGTTCCCACTACAGTCAGTTCCCCATTTACCCAAGTTCATTTAATTCTGTCTTTTTTTTTTTTTTTTTTGGTGTGCAAAACTAAACTTGTAATGTGAAACAAAAAGCACGGCGGGACGCTGCTCCTCAGTCACCTTTTCCTGGCTGGTCTTTTTGTGTTTGGAAACCTGTTTCTTCAGCATATAAATATCGGTTTCCAGATGGCGGATGAACGCCACCAGAGACATGTGCTCCTTCTTCATGGAGGTTATGTCATTGAAGTGGTCATCGATCTGCTTCTGGAGATTGTGGATCTGCGTGACCGCCATTAAAAAGACACTGTAATCTTTACGGGTAACTGACACCAACCAAAGTAAACGAAATTTAAAGATAGTTTAAAAATCTTTGGTCACCTTTTGTGACATAATGCCACTGTTTCCCTTCAGCTTGGTGACGGCCTCTTTCTCTGACTGGAGTTTCTTCTCATACTTGTCTTCCATGGAGTGGAGCTTCTCCTGCTCTTTCTCTGCTGCTTGCCGTACGGTTTCTTCATACTCTCGGATCCTTTGCTCAGCCTTCTCCTGATACTGTAAATGAAATAAAATCAGCGAGAATTCAGAGGTGTCTTGAAGACGCGAGCGGTCCCGGACTTCTGCCTTTTCCTCCTCATTCTTTCAGACCTTGTTCATGTGTTGAGTCTTCAGTTGCAGCTCGTCCTCGTAGATCTGCGTGATCTCAGCCAGACTCTGGGTCCGGTCCTCCTGTGCATGAATCAACTGCGCCTCGTACTCCTCCTGCATTTCTTTGTGCTTCTGGAGAAGCTGTTCATACTTTTCATGCTCCTCAGACAGCTTGGAGGTGTAGAATTGCTCTGTGTGGGATAAAAAATATTTATAAACTTCCCTTTGAGCTCATAAACAATGCATTGGATAGGCAGTTGTCCTACCTAGATACTTCAAGTCTTTGCAGTGTTTCACTTCAACGTCTGCAGAATTCTGCTGGGTCTCTTGTTCACACCGCTCTATTTCGGTGCTCAGGATCTATGAATGTAAGAGTTTCAAAGAAGCATTCTTTTGAATCACAAGGATTTTTGGAATCTACTTATTGCGATGTCTTAGTATTTCTTTTTTCTTTTTTTGTTGCGACATGTTTTGTTCATACAAGGATAGAGAGAAGTCTGCACACCTGAGTTTTATCGCATCATTTTATGGACAACGTAAATGACATCAGGCAAACGTTTGGACTGCGATAACACGGCAATTATGGTCATATGGTCTTTTTTTTTTTACCACAATCAGAGATTATGTTGGATGCTTTTCATTGAATGTTTTTACCATTATGAACTTGCAAAAGTGCTCATACCTCTTGAGCATTTTCACACTTTTGTCATATTACAAACAGAAAACTCAAAGGCATTTTACTAGGCGAAGAAACAACAAATACAACATAATGGTGAACAGACTGCGTATCTGCTTCGTTTTTCTACAGTCACATTTCTGTTCAGAAGGAGCTCGGTTTACAGGAAGTTTGACAGGGCTGAATCCAGAGCTACCCTGAGAGAAATCTTAAGACTTAAGACTGTGGTTTAGATCTGCTAAAGTGGCAAAACTGCAGCTCCTCCAAATATTTAGTCAAGGTGCAGACATAAATACAGCTGACATTTTGGGGGAAGACTTCATCTAATCTGAGCTTCATCTGACTGTAAGACAATCTATGATAGATTATTTGCCTGTCGAATAATTATACACCAATTTATTGGCCAGCCTATTTATCAACACACATTTCCTTAATTTTGGGAGATCGGTGATCTCCCAAAATTATATATATATATTCATTCAACTATTATTCTTTATATATGTATATAGATGCACATGTCTGATGACAGCAGCAGACCTGCTGTGTTGTTTTCAGAGTCTTGATTTCCTCTATGAACTTGTTTGACACTTGTTGGAGCTCCTCTTTGTGGTTCATCTCTTTCAGGCGGCGTTGGTACTCGTTCTCCATGTGCAGCTCCTTCAGATGCGTCTTCAGCTCCAACATGTTGCGAGCCTGAAACACACACAAGATTTTACAAAATATTTCAGCTGTATCTCAAACAATTCTTTTTATTATCTTGTGCTCTCCTATGACTCAGAATGTTTTCTTTTCCATCCAGAGATATTAGGTTTTTAGGGTTTTGGATATTCGGTAGTATTTTAACATTTTAGCCAATACTTTCAGTTTTCTAGATGGGTTACGCATCTAAACTGGTTTGGGACAAGGCTAATATTGAGCTTCTGGGGTGGATCTGACTTTAAGCACAAGTACTAGATAGATATAAAAGCTGGGTAAGTGCCAAGAAATCAAACAAAGTAAACTCCACCAGTATTGGGCCAAAAACGTGGCCATATCCAGTTAGAATAACGCTAGACGCCGATTAACTGTTGCAAAAATAGCATATAAGAGGTCCGACTTCTCAACAGACCCTTTCCTTCAGGTCTGTCTTTGAAACAAGAATCTCTTCGGTGTGGACAATCTGCCTGTCGCTCCTCAGACCTCGACCCTTTTCGTCAACGATTTTGGATATCAACAGGCAGCCATCTTCGGACGCCGTCAGCAGGAACTGATCGTCGTATGTTATCACCATCTGCGGACATTTGTTGGCAGCATTTGTAACGCATTACATGATGGATGAAATGGTCAACGATTTCAGTTTGAAAATTGATCATTTTTAACTGACTGACATTAAAATCTAGTTTTTTTACATTAAAATTTGAATTAGAATAGTTTTTGTTGCAAAAGCTGAATATATTGACTGGTTCTATTTCTTTTATCATTTTAAAGATATTAAAAAATGTTACCAGAGGTCATAAAAAGTCAATCAATCCCCACACCTTCTTCAATTAGACAAAATTGGTGTCAGCAACAAAATCTGTTTGCTGCTTTGGCTTTGAAGATATTAATGAAAGTTTAAAGGTAATTTTGATGTAGTAAAAGTGAGGAGGCTGAATGACCTTTCAATTTTTAATAACATCTTAACGCAGCACAAATCAAACGATTTTCTGCACAAACCAGCACAAACGTAGTCGAGTTGACTGACACAAATTTTATCTGATTTGAAGAAGGTGGGGGAGTGGTCTGGTTGACCTTTCATGACCTCTGAAAACATCTCTTAATATCTTTAAAATGATAGCGGTACAAATAAACATTTTTACTGCATAAATGTAGCACAAACATTTGACACCAACTGTGTGTCAAATGTTTGTGTGATTCAAAGATTCAAAGAGGGGGGAGGGCGACTTCTCTCAGGGTGTGTTTGGACTCACTTTGGTGACAGGGCCACAGTGAGCCTGCTCTGTGATCCACTCCTTCTGATCGGGTAACGGGTATTTAACGGCTCTAACGGTTCCGCCAGTGGTACCGGTGAAGACGACCCTGCCGGACTGAGACACGGCAAGAGCAGTGTGAGGCACCACATCAGCGGGAACCTCCTTCAGCACCTGTGGAGTCGATTTCCAGTTTCAAATCACTTATTTTACACTCCAAAGTTTACGTAAAAGAAATCTTGCTGTAGCCGTTCTCTTCCTGGCCTGGCAGTCCTGTATCTCCCTCAGGATGAGGTCCGATCCTACAGCCAGGACGGTCTTGTAGTCCCAGGAGAAAGCCGCGCCGAAGTAGCTGCAGGTCTTGAGCACAGTCTCACACTCCAGATTCCCGGTGTGGATGTTCCACTCGTACACGGCGCCATCTGTCCCACAAGACACCAACCGACTGTCGTCGAAGCTCCACTCAACGGTCCGCACCTGATTAGCGAGAAGAACCGACGACTGGATAAATCCCACCTTTTGGCTTTAGATCCGACGGCCAGGCGTCTGTTCACCGGCATCAACTCACCTTCCCAAAGTGGCCGTTTAGATCGAGAATGTTCTCAAACGAGGTGAAAGAGTAGATGTGAATAACGCTTCCGTCAACGGCCGCAAACATGTGGCCACCGTGGCTGAAGGCACACTGGAAGGATGAGGAGGAAGCAGGTTGAACCAGGATGTGCGCGGGAAGCCACGGGTTTCAGGGTCGCTGTTTGCACAGCAAGTTCGATCACCTCTCTGCAGCCGGGCAGCGCGAACTCTTTAAAGGTACGGATGTCGTCGATAAACAGGTTCATTAGGCGGAGTTTGTCTGAAAAGCCCACCAGCACAAAGAGGCCCGTGGGGTGAAGAGCCACGCTGAGCGCCTCCTTCTGAAACTCTTTGTACAACTCCATCTCTCTTTTGGCGAAAAAAAAAAGACATTACATGTGGACAGTCAACTAAAAAACAAAAGTTTAGGGTGAACTTTAATGGTTTTTGTTTTGATTTTTTACAAACATGTCCCTGTCATATCATCTCTATTAAATAAATAGTCAGACCTGTGGTGTGTTTTCATAGGAAAGACTGCTTACTTGCTTTTTATGTCAATTTCTTCACTTCTTTATAATCACAAACTTCTGTGTGTTTTCTTGGGATTTTCTGTGTCAGATCATGTACTTGCAAACAATTACATGAACAAATAAATATATGTTGCTTGTGGTCACAGCTACCTTTTTGCACATTGTTTAGCTTAGAGGCTCACTATTCTAACTGCAAGTTAATGTGAAATTGTAAGAAAATGTTAAATTATTTTGAGATAAGTTGTTTATGCATATATTCTGTCCTCGGTGTTTGGGAACATCGGCGTCTCCTTCAACTATTATTCTTTAATCCCACTTTAATAACTAAAAAATATTATTATTATTGTAGAACAATTGTATTAAATATTGTAGACATATAAATGATATACCAATTTATTCTTTTATCAACTTCACCATGCGCCAGGTTTTTCATATTTGATCAGTTAATCAACAGAAGAAACTGTGATATTTACTGTTGTATTGTAATAATATGGTAAAATACATTAAATTTGTGATTGGAAAATAACAAAATGTAGAAAAGCTTAAAGAATCTGAACAGTTTTATAAGCCCCCCGTTGGTTTATTTACTTTTTTTCCCCCCATGAACTGCATTCTGAACCTGCCTGAAATAATGAGGTCACAAGAAGAAAATGAAACAAGGAACACGCAGGAAGTCCTACTTTGTCTCGTAATTCCAGATCCGTACGGAGCAATCCAAAGAGCTGGTGGCCATGAAGGGCTTACGGATGCAGATGGACAAACCAGTGATGGATTCAGAGTGGAAGGGCTGGGACAAAAAGTCAAAATGTAGATGTTCCTCCTGATGGACAGAGCACAGCTTACATCAACTTCAAAAATGTTTAAATCGACACCTCAAATAAGGAAAAAGATAGCAAGACATCGAAGCTTTTGCAAAACTGGACTCTTGAACTGGAGGACTTGCTCCACACAAAAGCAGGTCGAAATCATGGAGCTGCAAAGCATGAACTGTTAATCTGTTAGGCTGTGCTAATAGCAGCACCCGCTTCATTTCAGCAGATGAAAGATTAATGCTGTACAGTTGGCCTCGGTCTGTGCTGACAGCCAGTGTCTCCTCTGCAGGACTCATGCACATGGTGTCGATCTCCTGACACTGGGATGGAGCTGAGTCACTGCTGGCTGGAGCTGGGAGAATCTGGCACAAAACAAAAAAACTCATTAAAACGCAGTATCCATAGACAGTGAATATTACCCCACCTCTGGCTGTCAGTTACAATAAAATTCACAACAGGAATATTTACTTGTATCTCTCTGCTTTTTCTATAGCCGTCATCCTCTATCCTTTCAAACAGGGAGACTGTGCCTGGACCAGTGGAGCACACAAAACCCTTGGAGTAGGACAGGATGGCGGTGATGCAACACTTAGCCACGCCTTCTGTCACATTCCCTGCTTTGATTCGCCTCACTTGCAGGTTCCTGTGCAGTGAAGCGAAAGCATTACGGGCAAGTTATGTGCTGTCTCTAAGAATACATTTCAGAGAAATAGCAGACTCAATGGCAAGAGTTTCTGGTTAAAACCAGAAAAATATGCTGTTTATTTCAATATCTTACAATATGTTTCAATATCTTTTTTCATCTACCGGTAAATGAAAAAACAATAAACCGATTGCTACTAATGTTGAGGAGGAATGCCGTCTTCCAAATACTTGGAAAGAAACAATGTCGGTTTCTTTAAGGATACCTTGGAATCCATTCATGTAATCCAAAAAAAATTATATGTCAACAAATCTGAAAAGTCCGAAAACTGTCATACAAGTTATGTTTGCCATAACATAGCTGAAGGGATAATCATCTCATCTTGAATGTCAATAAAACAATAGTTCGGGTCCCGTCCTCAGTTCTGCCACCACGTCTTTCCCACCTTCTCTCTACTGTCGAATAATGTTCATTAGCACCAAAAAAGTCCTTAATAAGAAGGAAACAAAAAAAAAGTTTGGGAAAAAAAACAAGTTAGAATATGGCACTGATTCAAATGATGTCAAACTACTAAGTTAGGAACAGCGCACTGTAATCCTGTGTAGTGAAAGAGTACAATTCAAATCATTTTCTCCACAGCGATAAAAATATGACAGTCAGATCACAGAGGGTTTTATTTCAGAGACGCTGTTGTTGTACGGATTCTGCATGAGCTGTTTCATGGTTTCATTGCTTAGTGTGTTTTGGGGGGAAATGTCTGTGTATTTAACAGCTGATTTTGTTTGTGATAGGCTGATTTAGGTCATTAACATGTACAGATTAATGCCCATCCATATTTGTTTGCCAGTCACAAAAAAACTCAAGATGAAGAACTGTTTTACATGCCACAGTGTTGTGACACTGCTGCTCACAGCGAGACAGGATATCTCATCGGTTCACAGGCTTTTCTCAATTGATAATTCATTGGAAAAATTAACTGTGAAGCATTGAGGAATCAATATTTTTACCTAAATCAATTATCGAGCAGGGAACTTGGGAAATTAGGCCCGGATAACCTTAGTGCTTGCGAGCGCTATGTTATGTTATATGTTTAGAAAATGTAGAAAATGTTTACAACCTAAACTTTACTCATTACACTTAGGTAAAAATTCCACATCACAAAGTAAAAACTATAATTCAAATTTCCAATCTGACCTCTCATTCTGGCCCTGCGCAGTTTCAGAGGACACCTTGATTTCCCTCCTCACGTCTCCAGACTGAGACACCAGCAGCCTTCCTGTGTCTGTCCCTGCTATGACTCGATCTTCTGACACCCAGGTGTGACACAGGATGTTGATTGACTCCACCTTCGCAATGCTGTTCTGTTTCATGCTGCCTTCTGAGTACCGAAACAGTTTAAATACGCCCTTGCCGCTCACACAGACCTGCATGTTGTTGTGAGGACTGAAGCTGATCTGGAGAGACAAAACAAACAAACAAAAAGTAGTGACATGTCACATTCCACCTCTCCATGTATGAATGAAGGTGTGACTGGGTCACCTGTGAAATGGGATTATTAGAGTTGGTCGTCTTCTCTGTTGCCAAGATTTTGTTTTTCTCCCAACTCCAGAAGACCAACAACCACTGTGGGGCTCCGCTTTGACCGATAAGGTACTTGGAGTCAGGAGAGAAAGCCATGCACAAGAACTCTTGAACCAGAAAATCTCCCGCAGTTAGAACGTTTCTCTTCATGCCGTGTTCCTGATGAAGGTCGAACACGGTGATGGAGGCCTTCTGAGCCTTCTCCGACACTGCCAAGTAGCGCTGGTTTGGACTTAGAGCCAAAGCACATAGGCCAAGACTTCCCTCTGAACCTGAAGGGGCACACAGAAAACAGAAGCCAGTAAATAACATTTATTGCAGGTGAAGCAGAGAGTTTACTGTATGGTTCACAGATTCTTTATAATATACAAATAATGTATATTCATCTGCGTACAAGCCAGACAATGACAAGCAAAACACTGTCAGTTATCAACTTGACCCCTTGACCAGGATTAATTGATTTTGTGTATAATTTAACTACATTGTTATGAGCAAAATTGCTGAATTACACGTTGCCTATTCAAATGCAAGAGAGAAGAGAAAGGTGAGACAGTGACTGTGGCCTCTCACACACACACACACACACACGCACACACACACACACACACACACACACACACACACACACACAGATTAGAGCCGACAGCTGTCTCTAGTTACACTGCCAACATCTCACCGGAGGACCGCAGAACTGACTCTCTAGTAAGTAATCATTTAATATGCAAAAATGACCTCATCAGTCGGACCACAAAATAAACTTATGCGAAAATTTTGGTATTTTAAAATGACAGTAATTCACGCAAGTAACAAAAAATAACAAAAGAAGGCAAAAGACTTTTTCTTTCCTCCCAATGCTGTTTATTTAAATAAAAAAACTTTGAAACTTTAACAAAAACTGCAGGTGTGTGTCTGTGTCTGACAAGTTTTTTGTTTGTTCTTCATTCAGTGACTACAGAACTCAAAGACTTTACTCAAGGAAGAGTAATAAAATTACTCTAGTAAAAGCAAAAAGTACAGCATAGCAAAAAAAAAACTCATGTAAGCACTAGTCATTAACCTGAGCTTCTATCTTGGTAATAAACTGATTTTAGGTTTGTTAATCCTATAAATTTAGTAAAACGTGCTTCATATGCATTTTGCATAGTTTTGAGTGGGTTTTATGATCATTTCCAGGGGAGCAGACGCCACTAGGACTGCGTCTCTCCACAGCTGCTTGTCTCCCATTAATGTCAGCAGATGTCGGCAGGCGTGACGTCGTCTTGCGATTCTGTTTCAAACTGAATAGAAACACCTCTGGAAAAATTAAGTTTCTCTGATTTTACTCTTTATAAGTATATGTTTGAGTAAAATGAACATTGCTCTTTTATTCTGCGAATTACTGACAACACAACTCTTAATTTTGTTTGTGAATGCATGTAAACAAGCAGTCAGATTTAGAAAACCGCACCAACGAATATCTTCTCATGGGGTCTTAGCCCTGCTGGGGGCTCGGCCCCCCTAAAGGTCAGATCCTAGAATCGCCCCTGTTACTTCCTAACTCTGCATATTTGCCAGCAGCCATGTGTAGTGGTAACATGTAATCTGTCTCACAAGCATACTAGAAGACTTTTCAGTTTTCACTGCCATAAATGTGCCGTGGACATGAAAATGAAGAAAGTACAGGTTTTGTGGCGACCCAATGGAGGAGATTAAGTGAATTGTTTAGATATTAATTATATATTGGACTGATTATTTTTTCCATTTGATCAGATTGGCCTGGATTCTCTTGTTTTCACATTTAAAATACAAAATGTTGTATTTACTCGGGCTAATTTTGAATAATTAGAAATGTCATTGTGTTCAATCACATATGTCTGCTGACAGCGTGGTGGCACGAGGCTCCTCGGTCACGGCGTACCTGGAAGGAAGCGCTGCCATCCTTTGACGGTGTTGTGGATCACACAGCTGTTCCCGCTGGGGAACGCCACCGTTTGCTCGTCGACGAAGCACAAGTTGTTCTTCACGCCTTTCCGGAGGCCGAAAATGAAATGGGGCTGAGATAACACGGTCGACATCGCGTCGAAAGCTGGGGACAAGCTTTAGACGGCCGCAAAGTTAGCGGGCGGAGAGGTGAAAGGGCACGACCTCCAACCTGTAGGTTTCCTCGTGCAGTTTGAGTCACGTTGCTAGGCAACGTGTCAGATCCCGCGATAAACTGAAAACGAAAGTTTTAATTCTCGTCGCCTGAATTTATTAGTTATATGTTACAACTTAGGAATGTAGCTGTTTCTTTTTATTCTTCTTCTTCGCATTATTATTATTATTATTATTATTATTATTATTATTATTATTATTATTATTATTATTATTATTATTATTGCTTCTTTATTTTCCAAAAATTACCTGTGAAGTCAAACTATGTTTTCTCCCGCAATGTAAATATTTTTGGAGTTAAAGGTTGAAAACCTGCTCTCTTTTTTTTTTTTTTTTTGTTGCTGTAATTGTCCTGTGGTAGAGTACACAGCGAAGGACATTTCAAATGTTTTAAAAGTTTAAGGGTTTTGTGAAGACTCTGTATTTTTTACAATGTTATTCCTTGATGGTTGTCTTAATTGAACTTTGAGAAGCTTCGTTGCTTAATTGGAGTTTACAACAATTAGCGTTTTTTCTGAACTGATGAAAGATTGAAGATCTTCATGACACTGAATGTGGTCCACATGTCCAAACTTTCACTTTCTCATTATGAACCACTTCATAATGGTTTGCTTTGTTTTGGTGATGATGCTGGAAAATATACGCAGGTCCTTCACCAAACTGTGCTCAAATTGTATGGAGGAAGTTGAATTAATAATATTGTTTGGGTTTTTTTTTCCTCTCTTTTTTTGATAGGAAAACATTTTACATCAAATAATAATAATTTTTATTTTATTCATAGGCACCTTCATACAATCTCAAGGTCACTCTGAACAACAACAAAAAACAAACTGGTGAACAAGACAAGCAGTAGCCACACATGGACCAGTTTATTCTCAGATGGCCAATATAATTTATGAATATAAATATAAAACAATGTGCAGTCACTTTGTGTAGTGGTTTTAGATGGGTTCTGAACACCCACAGAGGAACAATCGTTGATGTGAGACTGACCAGCCTTCTTAACACCGAGAGCTGCAGTTGCCGTGGTTTCATCTGAAGCTGTTTTGATAGGGCCAAGAAACCTTTACTTTGTCATATAATTATCAAGAAGACAAGTCGGATGCCCTCCTTTACAAATGGTGACCGTGGTGGTAGAAGTTCATCCATCTCATTTGGTGGGTTTCTGGTTCAATTTCTGCACTGTTGATGTGTCCTTGCCTGCTGATGGTGGTCAGTGGGTCCAGTGTTGGCTGTCAATATTCCCCAGGGAAGCTGTGGCTACTATCCATAGCTTCCCACTGTTAGTGTGTGAATGACTGAATGTAGTGTGAAGTGTTCTGGACTTGATAAAGTACAGGCCATTTACCAAATGTGATGTGTGAATTAACACATAGGGATGCTTGAAAATGAGAAATATTATCCTTAATATATATGTGGTTCTCCACCAAAGGCTTATCTGAGAAGTTTGGGCATTTCTCATCCTGCTTGTTTCAGAAACAAACAAACAGGGTGCCTTTAAGGTTGTGACGTCTGTTCTCGTCATGTTTTGCATCGTGGTTTGGATTGTGAAAGCTGACCTGGATCTGTTTATTTTAAAGCCTATTGTGACTCTTTAGGCGGAAGCGTGAACAGCACTTTGTCTACATAAGGAAAATGATACATATTATCTCTGTGAGCTGCACAGTGGCGCAGTTGGTAGCACTGTTGCTTTACATCAAGAAGGTCCTGGGTTTGATTCCCAGCCTGGGGTCTTTCTGCTCAGTGTCTGCATGTTCTCCTTGTACATGTTGGGTTTTCTCCATCTTCCTCCCACGGTTCAAAAAACATGACTGTCAGGTTAATTGGTCTCTCTGAATTTTAGGTGAGTGTGTGTGCATGGTTGTTTGTCCTGTGTTGCCCTGTAACAGACTGGCAACCTTTCCAGGGTGACCCTGTCTCCTGCCCGGAACGTCTAGCTTCGGGCGTCCTGACCCGAAATGACCCTCCTGACCCCACTAGGGTAAAGGGTGTAAAAAAATGGAGGAATGGATTTTATCTCTACCTGAACGGCCACAAACTCTGCAAAGTGTCTGAAAGAAATTCTTGATTCCATAAGTATAACTTCAGCCTGGCGATTACAACTTTTGATTGTCCTTCAACACGTGACATGGCTTGAAGACATGCGTTCAGGACATTAAAAATGTCTGTTAACCCTCAGCATCCTCTCAAGCCCATTAGACCTTTTACACATTTTGCCTCTGAAACTCTTTGGACAATAAAGGCTCAACCATAATGCTGGTAAAGTCATCACCATTCTTCATTTCTGCTACAAAATGTTCAAGATATTTTTTGCTGGACCTGCGACCTGCCTTTTCATTAGGCGAAGCTTGTCAGCAGATATGCCTTTAGAGTCCACAAGTGAGGTGAAAGATGTCCTCCGTTCATTATAGGTAATTGGGTCTCTGCTGAAAACGTTTGCCGTTGGTCCTGGAATTCTGTTAAAGGCTCTGCTATTTTTGAATAGCTCTGGCTAACTGGGAAATCTCTGCTTGAGAGACTTGAGGGTTTGAATAATTTGTTAGGATTTTTGGGATTTGGCACGTTCCTTTGTGGCGTCAATGTCGTGGGCAAGCCAGTAGGGGGTGCTAGTGCTACATAGTGTCAATTTCATATTTCTAGTTTTCTTTAAAAGACATTAAAGACCCAAACCCACACAGGAAAAAGGACACAAATACAAAAGCAACAACAACAACAAAAAAAAACCTACAATTTACAAAATTAAAGATTTACTGACAAAAAAAACTGTACTCAAAGTAAGTTCAACCTCAGGCACATACATCAAGACTCTAAATGAAGAACATAAAACTCCAAGCGTGTTAATAGGAATGAGACATGAGGATGCACTGAATAAAACCCCAAACCAAACCAAAGGAAAAGAAAAGAAAATCCAATGCAAGGAAACAAAAATGGGAAAAACAAAACTGGACAGGAAGTTGAGAAACATAACAAAAGTGGAGAGGGGAAAACAGCAGGGTCTGACTGCATGACTGATGAAGACAGCTCGTGTTACAATGGACACGTCACTGCTTCATTTTGCGTGTCGGATTTCAAAATAAAAGCGCAATGTGCGGTGAGCTGTTGTGGGTAGTTTGGTCACGCATCAGTAGAGATAACAGCATCGAGCGGAGCGTTTCTCATTGACAGTAGCTGAAATGAAGCCAAGAAAAAAAAAGGAGAAAGGAAAACTCCATCTGGGAATACTTTGAACTGAAACACAAGGTTCTGTAAATAAAAATAAACCCCCACGTTATGTTGATCAAACAAAATTTGCTAGGCATGCCCATCCTCGACTAGACGAGAGAGGATGTCTTTAAGGACCTCAATGAATTTAAGTCAAGTTTAAAATCTTTTCCATAAGAAAAAAAAACAAAAAACGAGCAAACAATGAATAAGTGTGTAGAAACATCAACATTTAATCAACAATGTATCCAATAAATCGGATAAATTTAGCTTTTAAAGCTAGAGAATCGTTAATAAGGTTGGTTTACTGTGTATATATACATACTGGAGACCAACTACGTTAAGGTCTCCTGGGGCGGTGGGCCCAGAGGGTGGCGCTCTTGTTCAGCAGGAGATGACGAGGTTGTGGAGTGACTGCTGACTCTGCGCCCTCTGCAGACGTCCGTGAGATGAAAGGATCTCGCACGCAGCCAGTTCGTGGTAAAGAGCGCCGAGCACCTCCAGGATGTGCGCTTTGCCTGTGAGGGAGACGGGAGCAGACGCTGAGCTGAGTCGGAGCACATTCACAAGCAGACCAACAGAAACTTCCCGCAGTTCCCCGCTCCGTCTAACAGCAAACGCCGCCGTCTCGTTCAGCGGAACTCGGTGCGTGCGTTGGCCGGGCGCGTTCCACTAACCGTGTTGCGGGTTGCTGCCGGACTCCAAAGCACTGAGCAACATTTTCCCCAGGGACCTTCGAGAGACGTTCTGAAACAAGACGGCGACTAGTTTCAGCTGGATGTTGGGTCATTAAAAGGCACTTTAAAAGAGAAACATGACCACACACACACACACACACACACACACACACACACACACACACACACACACACATACACACACACACACACATGTGCAACAAGTGCTATATATGTTCTCATTCTCTCACTGTTGGGATTATGAGACGTAAGCCAAATCAGAAACGTTGGAGAAGGACAGAAACAAGTAATTGCAAGTAAAGAGGAAAAGAAAACAGCAATTTTGACATTTATGTCGTTAAACATGTAAATATTTACAATTAATCTCACCTTGCAGATATTTTTGGAAGCTGTTTTTGATTATTGATCAATAATCCTGTTTTATGCTCTGTGTCTTCATCAGTCAGGCAGACAGAAAGGCTGCTGTCAGCTTGAGACTTTTGTAACCTTTTGCTAAAACTCATAGTTTCAGTGGATTCCATTATCCTGGGTTAAATCTAAAAATATTCACACCCCTGGCAAAATTTTATGTCAGTGTCGATTTACTTATACAGAACTTTAAACACAGACATATACTGCACTTGTTTTGTGTTTAAATTTGTGTTTCATTTTGACTGCAATGTTTGACACACACCTGCAGTTTCTAGTTTCTTTTTATTATTATTTTTATTATTAGTGAAAGAAACTGATTTGAATTTTTTTTTATATATATATACATGAATTATTGTCATTTTGGTCCTTAAAAATACCAACATTTACATTTAACTTAATATTCTGGTCTGTCTGATGATGTAATTTTTAAATATTAAACGATTTATGCTTTGATCAGTTAGTGAATAGCTGAGTAGACTTTTTACCAAATACTTTTTTAATCTCACTTGTGTAATTTGTTGGACGGATCCTTTTTACTTTTACTTGAGTAAAATCTTTGGGTTCTCTGCCGGCAGGGCTATGATTATGCCAAGAATGTACCAAGAAAATTGATTAGACAAGAGTCTTATATTCACTTTTCATATCATATACATTTTTGAAGCTTATTCAGCTTTCTTGATTAAAACATACTCCATCTTTAAAAGGTCTATCAGTGCAAGTTTGACACGCAAATAACAAAAAAAATATTTATTTTCCACAGTAACAGGTCTAAAATGTCCTAACCCGACTATTGCTTCAGGACTAAATCAGAATTGACCTGCGGAATCACAGAACAGCGACGCCGAAACCAACCAAGTCTCGGAGCTGCCGCAGAAGCTGCAGGATGTCCACGAGCTTCTCCTCCACCAGCGACAGACGGACCTTCTCTCTTTCCAGCGACTGCAGCTCCACGGTGAGCAGCTCTGTGTCCTCGGCCCTCTGCTGCAGCTCCCGCACCAGAGAGTCCTTCATCTGGAAGGAGATCAAACTGATGCACTGCAACACCAGGATCCTCGCTGCATTTTAAAAAGCAGTACTTTATGTGAACTAATTAGTAAAATATACATCAAAACGGTGTTTTAAATCTACAATGATTCTTCAAGTTGGAAAAGTGTCACCTGAAAATAATTGAGTAAAGGTCCGTCTGTCCATTGGCTCTTTGGAGGAGGTTTTTGCGTTTATGTCACGTTTGATACAAAAATAAAGAAAACATCTCTCTCTCAACGATCGCAGAAACGAAGCAAAAACAAATCTCTACAACAATCAAACACTGAAGACAATTTGTGGGTTTGTTTGGGTGAAAACAGATCACAAAACTACGAACCAATCAGAATTGATTCAGAGATTCCAACCCACCATGCAGGCAAAGTATGTTAAAGGCCAAAGCGACAATCACATCCTGATAAAGTCACTGCGCTCTGTGTGTGTTGTTGATGCTTCCGCAGCTGTGTGTGTGTCACCAGAAGAGCTTTGCAGCCCTCAGCCTTCAGGGTGAAACAAACATCTATCAACGCAGCTGCATTCGTTCTATGTGACTCTATTTTCACCCCCTTGATAAACACCACAACCTCTGGGTTGATCACCAATAACGTGACTATGGGGCTATTGATCTTTTATTTATTTATTTTTCTAGGCAAAAAAAGAAGACCTGAACACGATTAGGAAGTCGGGGTGCAATGATTGCAGTTTTCTGGCCGTTCTCCAGCTATCGATCTTTAAAAAGCCTGACCTGCCGATTCTGATTTTTGCCGACACCAGTTTTTTTTGTCTGAAATGTCGTCACACACAGAAAGAAAGTTGCAGAGTTTACAACAGTGGCTGTTGTAAACTGCAACTGTGCAGACATGACCTGGTGGGCGGGGCTAACAGCCAAACCTGTCTCACTGCAGGGCAGAAGACGACAGCAGTTGATTTTTAGATCTTTGCTGAGGTGGAGGTGATTGGAGGCGTGTAAGGATCAGCTGATAAAAGAGCTCTCAAAATTAAGGAAATCTATGCTGATAAAAATCAGTGCCCCCACATTAGGAAGGTGATGATGTGTGAATTTCATTAGGTGACAAAGGTGACCAAACACTTTTATTTTGTCATGAGTGGACATTCTAATTAGCCAGAGCGTTCACAACAGGCTCTGATGTCAGACAGAAATTGCAATGTAACAGAGAGTATAGGATGTATCAGAGAGCGCCACCTGGAGGCTGATTGACAGCGAGTGCTAAAACCCTTTTCCTGTCTTTGATTAGCTATTTCTAATTGGCACTGGGGTAAAGCAGAGGAGCTAAATCTGACCTAACCATTCTGGTTGGGTCAGAGGTCAGGGCTGGTGGTGTGTACCTGGTCCATGTTCAGCTCTGCTCGGCTTTCCTTCAGCTTCAGCTCCTTGTGCAGCCTGGTGACTCTCTCCAGGAGCTCCATCACAGCACTGTGACACTCTTCGCTCCTCGAGCTTCCGAAACGAAACATCAGCTTCCCCAGAGCCTCATCGCCACATCTGGCGAAGAACACAGACGAACAGCAGCTCATTCTGTCTGCAACCCCACAGTCCTAAAGTATTCATTCCCCTTCTGCTTTTACAAACACAAACCTCACTGGTGTTTGTGCGACAGGCCGCCACAGAGTACTAGAGAGCTGAATGAAAGGCATGCAGTGCATGATTTTTGTGCAGCATATTTCAAAGGAACCTTTCACCCCTTCCACTCCGTACGAACGTGTCTGACCCCCAGGTGAGTTCACCTTCCGCCACAGCAGGACAGCCTGGTTAGGATCCTCTTCACCTCCTCCACCTGCCTCTGTTGGTCTCCGGCCCTTTTGTCCTCTTCTTCATCCGAAGCAGCTTGGCCTTCCACCGAGCGGAACAGCTGCTCCTCGACCGGCACTGCAGCACATCGACAACGTTACTGCTGCAGCGCCGTTACCTGAGAACACCTCAGAGCGACGTGTGTCTTATTCTGCACTGAAGGACTAAAAGCTTGACAGTCATTTAGCGTTTTTGCAATGACAAAATTCCTCACTCTTGTCAGGGGTGGTCACAGCACGGCCTGTTGGTGAACGGCGGTCATGGTGGCGGTCCTGGCAGCACGGCCGCTGCTCTGCCCCGGCGCTGCTCGCCGGCTGAAGTCTGGACATCTCAGACCTGAAAGACATGGGGTTCAGAACAGGCATGGAGTCGTTCATTCTTCTACAGACGGCCACCAGGACCTGAGAATTTCATTCACAGTGTTCATTGCGATGATGATGGAGATGATAATAAAATAATGGTAGAACTCAGGAGATTTAATATAAAATTTGGTGCATGGATTCTGATAGAGCTTGATTGTCGAATTAAGTGTGGCATTTGAGCTTAAGCTTGAAGCAGGTATTAAACATACTTTCTTTTATTAATCCTATTTTTCTGGTGGTTTTTTTATTGGTCTGATGGATTATTCCAACCATAAATGTTGCATTTTGATTAGCTGCAAGCAGGACATCATCATTATTAACAGGAATTAACCACCAATCTGTGTGGATTGATGTTCTGCTAACAGTGCACGGTTATATTTAACTAACACATTTGTAATGACTATTGATGTCAACTGATTGCTTAAGCGAACAGTGCAGGTTTGCATGGTTTGAATCCTGATGAGAGGCCGTCTCCACGTTCTCGGAACACCCTGCACTGAAGCCGCACTTTACATGCACACACCGTCGACGGTTCGGTTGGAGCCGATTTGCAAACATGAAAGAGAACATGCAACAAAAAGTGGTGCGCGTTACTGCGCTGCCACGATAATTTTATAGAGGCCGTGTGATGCCGTACGCCAGAGCTGGGTGGGGTAATTGAAGCCAGACTCCGGGTCTTTGAGACATTTTTACAGCAAAGTGGGTCAGTGGTAAAACGGCGCTGTAAGTGTGCAGCGCTGGAAGAAACCTTCAGAAAACACGGCTTCGTACATGCAGGTAGATGTAGAAATATTCAGCTGCTCCCATACACATTTAGCAATTTTCTTGGTGTCGTAATCAATTTGACATCTTTTGCCCTGATGTATATATTTTTTAAAAAAAGAAAAAAGAAGTCTGATGATGCAGTTTGGGTGGATCAGAACTTCTGTAATGCTTCAAAATTTTCAAACTTTCTTTTGCTGGCTGCCCTTTTTGTTGGGGGGAAAGCCAATAAGGGGCCTTCATAAATCACTGTGTAAGTGTTTCCAGATGATGATATCTTGGAGGAGGAAAGCTAAAAGGTTTTTCAGCAGCTTGCCTCGGAAATCACCGGGCGCTCGAGCTTACGTCCTGCTATCACAAGTCAGGCGATGCTGGAAGACATGTCTTTGAGCTCTCTTTGTTCAGTAGTAAGCGTTACGGACTCACAGGCAATCAGTCGGAGAGTTATGTTTAAGTCACTGTGGGGGAGGAGGCCGGCAGCTGTAGTGAAACAAACACAAGGCTTCCTGGTTGCTCTGGTTACACTCACATTCAAGAGCTAAGCCCGCTGAAAGGTTGTCTCCTGCAGGCTAACCAGCGACCGAATGCTCTTTAATTGATTAATTGACGTCGGTCAGAGCAAGGCTGCGTCTCAAGCATTCCTGATGATACGGTGACATTTTAAATGTCACATGAAAACTCTTTGTTTAGAAACACTTACTCCTGGATCATCCTCTGAAATGCTTCAGTGGAACTTCTGGGAACCAGGGAGTCCAGCTGGGAAAGCAAACACTGATTCTGATTCGGAAGCAGACGTGTGGTTTGACTTCGCCACTAGCAGAAACTCCTTTTGCTTTAAAGCAAGCGAGACCAACCTGTCATCTGTGATATGACACAAGATTATGTTGATGAGGTGAAAAGGGTCTAGAGAGTGGAGTGTTCCGAGAAAGGGAAAAAAAGTGACTTCCTGTTCTGATTTGGTGGGGCTTTGATGATGTGAATATATGACCACAGCAGTATGGTTGGGCATCAAGTATGAATGACTCATGATAAGTTTTATGCATTTTAGCCCTTCTGTGTGAAGGTTACAGGGATTGCTTGGGCAAAAACATCACTGTTACCGCTTGGCCATGTCCAAGATTTTGATAACTTTCAATCCCCCCCGTCCCTTAACTAAAGCGGACAGCTCAAAATCCCTAAGAGGAGTTCTTTAAATTTGATTAATAATTGCTGAGGGAAGTTATTAGGCTTTAACTAACTGGGTTTTTAAGACTCAACCTCCTGAAGTCTATTTCAAAGCGACCTTTGGCGGCTGGTCCAATAGCTCAACTATTATCTTTTTTTCTATAATCAAGGAGTCATATTCTACAGAATTTATCAACACAATGACTGGAAGGTGTCGCTTTGTGTTCCGGTTCACCCAAAACAAGCTCATGTCGTTTGCCTTCTAGCATTGAGCTTTACAGTCGTTGAGTGTTTTGTCATTTCGATTTTGACGTCATCTGTCTGGGGAAACCTTGTTCCCGATGTACCGTGGTTTGCTTGGTAAAACAAAAACAAAGTTTTATTTACAATGGAGTAGGAGTTTGGAAGAAGTATTAAATGTCTTTAGTGATGTAAAAACATCATATCTGACTCGTCTGGAAATGGCAGATATGATGTCAAAGACTAGTTGCAAAATGGCTCCAAAAGTCTAAATAGAAATAAAACAAATAAATAAATGGATTTCTGTACTTTGAATTTAGTTTTGAATTGATGAGAATGAGTGTGTTAGCTTTTACCCTGCTAATGCTTGTGAAATGCAAATCAGAAGAATGCTGTTAATCAGAGACGAACTTCCGTACATTAACAGTAAATATTAAAAAAACCCCAACAGGATCAATAATCTACTTCAAATTCCTAATTACACCTCTTAATGTTGCACCATCTAAAGTAATATTTGGGTTGGCTGAGACCAAGAAAGTGTCAGGCCTTTGGTTCAAACAGTCATGGGGAATCAGTTGCTAAGACCTTTCTATAGGGGAGACTCTGCACTATTGTTCATTGAGAGGCAGAATGAAAGAAGTGAGCAGAGATTGATGAGGACCGTCGGCTGTTAAGGTTCTCACTCAATAGGCCTCTCTGTTGCTTTTGTGGTGTTGAATTATTTGCCATCACAGTGTCTATGGAAGAGTGGAGAGACGACTTTGGAACCCTGTTTGCGTAGATTAGCAGAATGTGGGTCACAGGACAACACCTAGATGTCTCAAATTTGTTATTTGAAATAACCCAAAAGCAGGCCGTAGCACGAGCTTTAATCACATGTCTGCTCATGCCAGACTGTGTCTTAGCAGCATAAAGTGAACATTACAAGTATTTAGAGACATCTGCAAGCCAAAAAGCCACAGTTGCGGACACTGATTATACGGTTGAAGCAGGAGCAACTGAACGAGAGATAAACATTCAACTGAAACGCTTTGTACTTCAAAAGTTCAATTACACCTTGACTCCCACTGAAGCCAACAGTTCCAAAACAAGAGTTTGAGCCAGACCGGCCAACCGGCCGGCCGACCGGCTGCACACGAAGCTCGCTCAGCGAAGTTCACCAGATGGGGGCTGAAAATGAAAATAGTTGCCCACGTCAGCCTTTTGACCAGCAAGGCACGAGCATCTCAGGCATTAAGCCCAAGGTAAACAGAGTCATTCTGTTCTGCTTTAGGAGGATCAACAATTCAGCGCTGGATTTTTCACCACTGAGGTTCTTCTCGTGCAACAATCTGCTAAAAACTGGGCCCTTTATTTCAACCAGGCAGACAAATGAGTAGTTTTTAAGCCCCGACTTAAAAATGGGCTCAATAAACAGGAGGTGACGCTAAACAGCTCATACACGGTATAGCAGACGGAACATCTGTTCCATCTGCTATACCTCCCAGAGCCAGAACGGCCTAACAGCCCACACACCTAGCTGTACTTTTCACTAGCTATTTTCTTGGGATGTTTTAGCATTTTTGTTTTTGCTGAATCATAATGTACAATTAAAAAAAAAAAAAACATGTCCTCACCTCTATTTCTGCTCATCCAGATTTACATATTAAAGATTTGTTGTTGTATCAACCGTTCATACCACTCAAGTCTTCTGGTTCTGATTCTGCTCTGCATCCCCAGAACCAAACATGGAGAACCTGCATTTAGCTTCCATGCGTCACAAATACGGAATAAACGTCCAGAAAACTGCAAAACCGCCGAAACACTGAGTTCCTTTAAATCCAGACGAAACACCCGCCTGTTTCAGAGTTAGTTGCCTTTGAACCATGTTCAATGAAACACTGACCAACATGTTTGATGTTTAACGGTCTTGGTGATGGCACTCGACAAAACGTAGCGTTTGTTGAATTGTTGTCTGAATGGTGTTTTCTTTATAAATTTGTAATTTTGCACTATTATGTTTCTGCTGTAATGTGCTACATGACAAAAACTTAATATTGATGAAAATGCATAGGTAGATTATTTCACTTATAACAAGACATTTTTCCCTCTTATGAACAAAATTATATACCAATGGAACCAGCACTATTATCTATTCACTATTAAGAAGTTATTTACTTATAACAAGCTCCTGTAACTTGCTGAACAGTTACTTGTAAGTTAGTTTTGTCTTTTCTCCAAGTGCACTAAGAGATTTGTACTAGAAAAATACTCTGCAGGATTTTGTGGGGTTTTTTGCAGTGTGGGAATCAATTATTTATTGCAACGGCCACAAACCTGGCACTTCATGCAGAAAAACTAACCCTGAACACAGTTGTGCATACACAGATTAAATCACTACATTACTCAGACCAGGATTGCTGGTCAGAGAACCACCAGTAGGTGTGATCTGAGGTTGTCTAAAACACCTGTGGAGTTGCTCTGATAAACAGCTTGATGTTACGTAAAGTGAAGCATCTGTACCTGTAGTAAAGCAGCTGAGACTCCATCTGGACAACTTGCCTCTGCAGCACCGGAACACGACTGGCCTTCGCTTCCAGGTCCTTCACCTTCTCCAGTCCGCTCAGCAGGGCCTGCCGGGCCTCCTCAACCTTCCTCCTCATGCTCGCCTGCTCCGTCTTCAGAAGCCTGTTGCTGTCTTCCAACGCAGCGACGGCCTCCTTGCAGCTCCACAGTTCCTGCTCCAGTCTCTGGTTGCGCGACGCCGTCTCCTCCACCTGCCATTCTCTGGAGCTGTGCAGGTACTCTATCTCTTGGATGAGGTTCTGCAGGCTCTTGAGGTTGCTGTTGGAGCTGTTGTTGTGGGAGGCCAGCGTCCGCGGGGAAACCAAGCGTCCTTCCCTTGGTTTATGCTTGGAGTGGCTTTTCCAGAGGCCAACCTGCGACGTGAAGAGAGGAGATGAAGTTAATCCCACAAAGTGACTGAACATTTTGTTGCTTGACTGGTTGACAAAGTTCATTCATGAAGGAATATTTCAGATTAAAACAGTCCTGGGTATGTAAATGCAAGCAACTGGAACATCATGAGCTTCAAAGAGCTTAAATGGTGCAGACAAGTGGAGAGATGTTGATCTTTTTGTTTCTTTTTTTGTCCATTTCCAAAACACCTCAATCATACTCTGTTTACTTAAAGACTTGTAATCTCCTCTAAATATTATATATTTAAATATTATATTAAATATATAATATTAAATAAAAATTATATTTTGAAAAAAAAGTATTGTATTGTCAATGTAATCTTAAACATAAAAAGTAACAGTCTCAGAAATACACTTTTAAAGAATGTGTGGTTTGACATAAAGTTATACTTGTGCTTTTAAAACTCTATCAATGGATAATATAATGATGATGATAATAATAATAATAATAATAATAACAATAAATTTCCGTTACATTCATCACAAAAAATGAAAGTAATTATAACTTTAACAAACTTAACAGTATGTCATGAGAAATGGACATATTTGTGAAAACCAGGACCTTTGAGCACCCTGGTGATGTCACAGGTCACCTAAGTTCACAGGAACGCCGTGAGACGTGTCATTAGGAGTCCCACACACGGCAGCAGCTGATTGCAACGGGCACGTGGGATGGACTGATGTCCCAGCAGACCATTGACAACATCAGACACTTTTTACAGTCCTGAGTTGTGAAAAGTTCCAGATCAAACGCATTCAGTCCGGAGCACTGACTGAATATTTGAGAACTTTTTTCTTCTGTTTTACAGATCGAACGCTAATTTACCAGCCTGGTACGAGAGACACGTCAGACGTTATCTCCCGTCCCGGTCGCAGCCGTGCTTGATGTCTGTTTGCAGATGAGAGACATCCATGGTGACCTTCATAGTGACCGCCATGGTGACCTTCATAGTGACCTTCATGGTGACCACCATGGTGACTGCCATGGTGTGAGCAGGGACTGCCTGCGATTCAACAACCATCTGATGTTTTCTACTGCAGTGACCCTTCCAGACCGTGGGCCTCTGTGGGACCTGTGACGTCTTTTGTTGACTGGCTGCAAAAATTTGCCGCCTCAGAATATTCTCGTGACACCGAGCGTCGTGTCACCACTCAGGACCTGCACTGTGTTGTGAACATGCCAGCCGCTCCACAGTCAAATCTTTGCAACACTCACCAGCGGTCTTCATGTGTGAGATTCTGCTCTCAATAAAACTGCACTGTGTGCAGATATTAGACAAGTGAGTATTTTGACCACGTCATCATTGAGGTCCAACGCTGTCCAACTCCAAACTGGGTTAACTTGAATGTTTGATGGATTCAAGCAGGAGCAGGTGACGTGTAATGAGGGACGGTGCGGCATAAGAAGGTTTACAATTACAATACATTTCCTTTTTTTAAAAAATATGTTTCTAGGAATATTTTTACTACGCTGTACTTTTTCCTTTTATCTGAGTAGTTTGCTGCTCTTATTTGAGTAATTGCCAGGATTCTCCACCCACTGAATGAAGAACAAACCAGTTTAAACCAAAAAATTCACCAGACACACACCAATACACACGCCTGCAGTTTTTGTTAAAGTTTCATACATTTAGTTGTTGTTGTTTTTAAGTCGCAGAGTACATGAGGGTGATTGACAGCGCTAAGACCCTCCTCCTGTCTCTGACCGATAGCCTCAATAAATAAAGTTGTGTCCAAGCCTTTCCTCACCTGCAGAGCCAAACAACGAGCGTCGCTGCTCTGCAGCGCGGCTCTCATGTCCTCAACCAGCTCCCTGAGACTCGCATTCTCGTCCTCCAGCTTCCCTATCCTGTCCTCCGCCTCCTCCAGAGCCACGATCTCCTCGTAGCACTCCCTGCTGCAGGAGCCCGGCGAGCCGAGCCTGCAGCCCAAAGCGCGCCGCTGCGCCGCGGAGGGAGAGCAGCCGCCGCTCGCACCGAGCGACAGCAGCGTCTCCCGCCGCTTCAGCGGGCTCCGCAGGCGGATCTGAGTTTCGATGTGCTCGCTGTCGGTCCCGACCAGCAGCCGGTCGTCCTCGTACTGGCATCCCGCCTTCGTGGTGAAGTAGCCGCACAGCTTGGCGTGGAAGTGCCTGAAGGTGAGCGCGCTGGGCAGGTTGTCCAGCAGCCCGGCGGACTCTTCCGACTCCGGCTCGTCGCTCAGGCCCAGGACTTCGCACAGGACGTTGAAGTCCTCCTCGGGGATTTTGCCGCGTCCTCCGTGGTCCAGGTGGTGGAATATCTCCTGCAGATACTGATCCAGGCCGGTGGCCAGCACGATGATTTCGTTTTCCACTCCCCGGTCCAGTCCGTAATGGTAAGCCAGGGTGCTCACGATCCACTGCGTCCTGCGCGCCGGGCGGCTGTACGGGTCAGGGGAGTCGGCGGCATCCATCGTTTGGACCAGACAACATTTCCATGAGACGCTCGCCGCTCGCCACCACTCCGACTCCTTCTGCAGAACGTGTCCCCACTGCTGAGAGAGACCACGAAGCACTGCCCCCAACATCCACCAGCACACTGAAAGAAACAGCAACCTTCAGAAAAAAGAAGAAGAATGGAAGCAAATTGAACAAAGGTTTATAGATTTAAAATGCAGGCTTGACAGAACGGAATCCACATGTCAACCAATGCATTTCATTTTTATTCACAATAACAATGAATAAACTAAATAATGATTGTAAAAATCAAAACATGAGCTGCTGTCTCCAACACATGACGTCTATGCAGAGTTGGGTAGAAACATGCAACTAGTACTTAAGCAACTTTTTTGAAGGATAGATAGATAGATAGATAGATAGATAGATAGATATGGATGGAGATAGATATGGATGGAGATGGAGATGGATGGATGGATGGATGGAGAGATAGATAGATAGATAGATAGATAGATAGATAGATAGATAGATAGATAGATAGATAGATAGATAGATAGATAGATAGATAGATAGATAGATAGATAGATTTTGTAAAACACAATAATTTAGGAAATAATACAATTATTTTAACTATAGTATTTGTCCATCTGTCTACCTGGAGCTGCCTGGATAAAACTTCACACCACACTTTTCAGATTTTACACCCAAAAGAAAAGTGAGAACCACAAAACGTGCGTCCTCAGATCTGAGTTGATTCGAAGCATAAAATCCCAACAAAATACTCTGCAGTTTGTGGTTACAAAATAGTAAAAGAAAAAGTTCAAAGCATGTATTATTATTGTTTTTTTGTTTTATTTCATGCAACTAATTGGTTGGTTTTCATTTTTATTTGGGCCTGACATGGACTAGACGAAGCACTCCGCAGACTGAAAAGCATTTCAATAAGGTTTTACACACATGACAAGCACTTCATTGCAATAAAGATTCCCTCATTACTCTGCTGGGGTAGAAAAAAAGAAAAAGAAAAGCACATATGCTTCAGATAGCAAGCCCTGAAACTTAATTTAGACTTTTCATTAAGGGGGTTTGCTTGTAACATGTCTTATGAAGGTCTCATAATTAAACCCCTACAGGTACAGCAGCGTGTTGAACATCACAGCCAGGCATTCAGCATGATAGAAAACCCTTTTTAAAAAATCCTGCACTTTCACCACATTAACAGATTGTTCTACTTCATCACTCTGCGGTGGTTCTTCAGTTGAACTCTTTAAGTTCAATTGATTCTTAAACACAGGATAAAATGACCTTTAAAAGCTTGAAGACATAAAGTTCTGGTTCCTTGCAGCAGACTGAGTTCAGAGCTATCTGTCCAAGACTATTTCCCCATGGGTGTGTGTGGGAGGGAGCTGCTGGCCCTTATTGACATGTTTTTGATGGAAGCTCCAGATGGTGGAATTTCAGCCAGTTTGCACAAAACAGCCCAGTATTCCCATGCAACACTGAAAAAGAACTTTTATCGCAGAAGAAACTGATCGAAATGAGTAATTCCCTCGTTTCATTTGTCACTTTTCCGAAAAGCCAGAGGTCAGTCTGGACACTGTCGTTTGGTTTCTAAAAGCAAACGGCACTGCACTGCGTGGAGACGACCAACTTGTCACCTGTGAACAGGTGATCTTCTGCTTTCACCATCAACAGTATGTTGGACGTCAGGCCTGTTTGATGAAGATTGACGAGATCCTTTTGGATGAAGGTCCAGGGACTGAGTGGCAGTAATCTTAATGCGCAAATTGATCGGCCAATTTTCTTTCATTTAGGTGATTGATAATCGGTCCAGAATTAAGCATGAAGCAGATCTTCTGCACAGATCTTTTCTATCGTCCCAACTCTCTGAGGGATGGCTGCGTTTCACAGATTACTGTTGGAAGACGTTGCAGCGTTTATGCTGTATTTAATACAGAAACAAATTGGTCAAGGTTATTGTAAATATTGGTGATTGGCCAGAAAACTGGAATTGAACTGACACTTGCAGGAGATCAAATGCCGCCATTAAAACAACATTTGGCAGTATAATCCTCCTACAGTCATTTACACCCCAGGACTCTTTTTTTCTGCGCGGTTCTGTGCATTTTATTTTTTTGTGTCCTGAATTCTGACCGTGACATCTGCTGCGCTCCTCCTGAGCGTTGCTGGTAGAACCTGTTCACCCACACCTTGGCACTTTTTGAAAATTTGGGATGAGCTTGTGCAAAGTGAGATTCCTTTGCCTTTTGTTATTTCATTTACATTTTGTTCCATCTGATGATATAATTTTTAAATCCTAAATTATTGATAATTTTATCAGTTACTCAGTACTTTTCACCAAATACTTTTTTACTCTTAGTTGAGTAATTTCTTGGACGCCTAATTTTTTACTTTTACCCGAGTAAAAATTTGTTGAAGTAGTTCTACTCTCACTTGAGTACAATTTATGGGTTCTGTTCAGCTGTGTGCAGTTCAGGTACCTTAGGGACATAAATCGCTCATTACATGATCTGACCCCCAACCCTAAAAAACAAAAAATTAAAATCAATAACTAACTGTGAACACCAACTGATGCACAGTATCGTGATCTTCTTCGAGGGTCGGTCTCGTCGGTGCGTTTGGGCGCCCCCCTCTGGATAATGGTTGCTCTGCAGTCATGACTTTTTATGACTGGTGAAGTTGGGATGTTTTGGCGTATTTTCAAACTACAATGTGTCAGGGTTCCAGTATTTTCTGTCGGTGCCAAAGAAAGGTCAGAGTCCAGGTCAAAGGTTGTTTTCATCCCGTGTTCCAGCCTTTTCCTCAGTCGGTGGTGAAGCTGTGGATGGTTGAAGGAGAGGAGCTGGCAGCACGCGGCAGAAACAACGCAGTTCCCAGGTACGGCTTTCAGTTTAAAGTCACTCATTTATTTCTGTTAAAAACCTGACAGCTGCAACAAAAATATTAAAACGAGTTTATGGCTCACTAAAGCCATAAATAAGCATCACAAATTATTCTTGACTTTCTCAGAGAAGAAGTCCGACTGGGAGAAGCAGATATGATCCATCTCCTAAACATGTTATTACACACGGCAATTTACAAGAAATCTGGACTTTAAAAAAAAAACTGTTTGCTCAACGACCACGGCTGAGAAAACACAGTGATCGTGCTGCGTTTCTCCTCTGGCCACAGAAACTGAGGCAGCAGAGAAATCAGAATGTTCTTTCAAGAGGGTGAGAGCAAATATAGGATCTGTTCTCCAGAACCGCCTGGGCGATCTTCTTGATGCTGGCGTCGTTGTTTTCTGGAGAATCTGGGGAGAAGGAACACATTTGTTTAATTATCATCTGTCTGGACTGTGGTGCAGAGTAACATAAAAATATCTCTATCCTTTGAACATTTTTTCACATTCCTTTGTGTAAAAAGACACACAGCGGAAGTGAAGTGAATGGTGGCTTTTGAGGAAAACAACCGGGGATGGAACCAAGAGGACCAGGCCAAGTTCCCAGGACAAATATTAGCTCAGCGCACAAAGCTAACCTGTGGCTGACAGAAAGTTCTTGTGGAAAGAAGTTCAGACAAAAAAAAAAAAGTTTGCACTGTAACTAAGCTTTTTGGGAAACATCCTTGAGATTAAGGAACGCAGTGAAGTTCAGTTTACGATTGAGACTGATGAAGATATTCGATCTAAACTCTAAAATTGCTCTATTTTTATTTATTTTTTTATCATAATTCACCAGAGAAGTGAATGCTGCAATTCAGACGAGTCGATGCTGTTCCTTTAGATGGGCAATATTTTCATTTAAACAACAAACTGAACGACATCGACATCACTGGGAATCTGTGTGTGTGACTGAATTGTAACGACTTATTTGATGTGAATCGGCGCTATATGAATATTTCTTTTTGGTTTTTGACATCCTCCATCAATCTGAACGCTGATGCCGTGGTTCTGAAAGAAGCACTCTCATTTTACCCGTTTTGTCGCCATATTTATCCATTTCTTATTGGTGTTATTGGAGACTTTTATGGCGGCGAAGCTCTGCAGCTCGATTCCCAACAATTTCACTTAATAATGAGCTTTTATGCGTCTATCAGACTTTGCAGAAAAAATAAATAAAATCACTAAATGGACCAGGAGTTATTTTACATAAAACATTCAGATTTGCAAAGCGGAGCAAAAAAATATGAGAGCCGAACTTCCTGTCACCAAAGCACAGCGGCTTCTACTTACGTTTCTGCAGCTGAACCATGGAGTAATTATTCTTGAAGTAGGCATCGTTGCAGAATGTGTTGGTGAGCAGAACCTAGAAGGAGCGACCATATCACAGCAGGATTAATAAATGTGTTTACACAAGAATTCACAGGCTTTGCTCCACACTCTGTTAATCCAATTAAAGGCTCAGGTCTTCCTGAACATGACGCCACAAGCTCAGCACAAGCTTCTGTTGGCAGCTCTTCTCCAGCTGCGCCACACTGGATGGGAGACGACTGGGCGGCCAGTTTCAAATCCCTCCAGAACGGAGCACAATGTGGGAAATGCTTTAAATACGTAAACGTTATACCACGGTGGTGAAATGTCACACCGAAAGAGTCAAATCCAACTTTGAAAGGAGGAAAATGAACTCTGCTCTGTTGGAAATGCAGCAGGTTGGATGTTAAGTTTTCAATGAGAATCACTTTTTGATTCTTTTGGCAAATGAAATTTTCCAGCTGAACAAATGGACTTGAATTAAAGGTGGACTCTTTCTGGGAGGTGAGAGCAGCTTGGATTGGTTTTTTTTAAAGAAAGCCATCAGATGGGACGGTAAGACATTGACTGCGCGTACGGCCTGCGCGTACGGCCTGCGCGTACGGCCTGCGCGTTGCCCCGCCGTGCCGGCTCTTGGTCGACACACACCTCATGGTCGTGATTCCTGAGGCCGATGCTGATGGAGCGGCTGGCTCTGGACAGGACGGCCGTCATGGCGTAGAGGTTGATCAGGACGTCCGCCACCCTCTTCAGGACGAGCTGTTCGTCCACGATGGTCTGAAATCGGGTTGAAGAGAAACAGAACAATATGAAGCCTTGACTCTTTAAAACTGACGAGTAGAGAGGGAGCAAAAAATAATTACTGTATCACAAATGTGTAATCCTAACATAACAGAGCCACGCGCAGAATGATCAGAAGAGAGAGGGATGCAGAGACATGAAAAGGTTTTGTAGAGATGAAATAATAGAGATGAAACAGTTTCATAAAAAGGTAAAACGACCTCGATTCAAAGGACGTCGGGTTAGACTGTATCCCAAAAATACTTTGTTTACCAAGTTTGAGCACTTACTTAATGAGTTAAAAAATAATTTATTGATCCCAAAGGAAAATTAGCTAAACAGAAAAATATCGCCAGAAATCAGTCCGACTACACAAAATCCACAACAAGAACAAAAACGAAGATATTCTTGAATAAAGTCAAATGAAATCTCAAACTAAATACAGAGCGACTCCAACATGCTGCCACCCTGCACAGCTCAGTTATATGTGTCTGTTACAAAAGACTGATTGGATTTTCTCTAAGCCAAATTCTGTTCGTCTATTTAAAGAAATTAGAAAATCAAAATACCTTCCCGTATCTGTACAGAAGGCTCTCCACCGTCGTCTTGAAAAAGTTCACGTTCTGCTCCAGTTTCTTAGCGCTTTCCTTTCAGACAGAAACAGAAAGTCACAGAAGTGCCAGAAAACCACCTGGACGAAAAAAAAAAAGAGAACAGAAATCCTGCTGAGGTTGAAGCAGCTGCTCACCTTCAGGCTGGGATGAACCACCCCGTCCTTCCCCGTCAGGCCGAGATCCTCCGTCGCTCCCAGTGACGTCTTCAGCCTCTTCCCAGCCTCGCTGAGGGCCATGAATACGTTTCCCTTCTTCATGTCCCTGAGAGGGGAAAAAAACAAAAACGTCTCTAAGACACAGCGCCTACAAAACGTTTTCACTGACTTCCTGCAAACCACCAAAACTCAGCCGTTTCCTCTGATGTACGAGTTCATTTAGCGATTCGAAACACAAGGAAAATCGATGCCGATGTTTTTTTTAAAATGATTTTTAATAAGTCGTTTAAACAAATTTAAGCATCCTTACTTTAAAAGTCGGCCCAAACTTAACAATATCACTGGCAGAGGTGGATGAAAATGTATTTTTATTCAACCGAATGTCTTGTTTGTGACGAGAAATGAGATGCATATGAAATTGTTTGTGAATTGGGCATGATCATTTGTTTTAATTTTTGTTTTTCCTGGTTTTTACTTTTTGTCTGTTCAAAATAAATTAAAAACATAAATAAATATATCACCAGCTTTCTGCTCAGAGAGATTCGTCTCATTTCAGCGTAATTTGAAAAATTTTTTATTACATCTCAAGGCAAAATGACATCTTAGAAAAATGACATTCTCGTCAATAACAAGTGGAAAACTCCACCAACATAAAAAATAATAATTAAATTATGACTTTAATCACAAGAGGGGTGTGACCCATGCTGTGGCGTTTTATACCTACTTGATTTTTCCCGTGAGCACGCTGCCGGCGTACTGCATCCCGGTGAGCGCGATGTACATCCTCAGGATTTCGTTTGTCCCCTGGACACAAACGGCGGGTTCACTGTTCTGATGTTGCTCACGACTAAAAACGCTCAAAACCATAAAAACAGCAGCGCGTGGGAGCTTGTTCATTGTGGCAGAGAAAGATTCTGATGTTTCTGGCACTCACTCTCTGAAAGTTTACTCAAATTAGGTGAAGAAAGAAACATGAAGAAAGAAGAGCTGCGAGTTACAAAATCACCTGCCACCTGCTGGTCACTTACAGCAATAACATGTCATCCTCCTATAGGAAATATGCTGAGCACTACTTTGTCTCTCTAGACCTGATGATCGGCTAACAATGATCCGAATTGCCGGATTCGCTTCTCATCAATGCAGACACGTGACAAACATTTTGTTCATTTTTGTTCATCGAAAACAAATGTTACAAAGTAAAGAAGGACAATCTTTTCATTTAGGCCAAGAGGTTAGCTAGTTGTCTGACAGTCATTTAAAAAAAAAAAAGAAAGAAAAGAAATCACCCTCCTGTTAGCCAACACACCTCGAAGATGGGCAGGATGCGACAGTCCCTGACGTAGCGCTCAAACGGGTAGTTCTTAGTGTAGCCCAGGCCTCCCAGGACCTGCAGAGCCTCACTGCAACAAATCCAGCCTCCCTCTGAGCTGAAGACCTGCACGCAACGTTCACGCTGTGACCGACGCTTCGGGTTGTCATTATCAACGTGAACGACGTCCGGCTGTCCAACCTTAACCATGGCGGCCTCTAACGAACAATCTGGGACTCCTGGTCGATCCATCATCCCCGCAGTCAGGTACGCCATGCTCTCCATCACGAAGGCATTGATGGCCATCAGAGCAAACTTCTCCTGCGAAGGCAAGCGAGTCAAAGCGCGTCATTATGTCGGGGTGAACAGCCAAAGATTGCACTCGATTAAAAGCGCCACCACTTCTGCCTACTGTTTTCTACGCCAGTAAAAGCAGAAAGTATCCATCCAAGAAGTTACTCAAATAAGATAAAAAAAATTATTTCGCAAAAAGCATTGAGTAATTGATGAAATTACCAATCATTTAATGTTTAAAATTTACATCGTCAGATGGGCCAAAATATGAAGTTCAGTGGAAATTTTTGAATTTCAACAGACTAAAACGACAACAACAAAAAACCTTAAATTCAGAAATTTTACAAAGACAACCGGTGTGTGCGTCTTTATTTGGTCAGTTCTAGTGAAGACGTATTTGTTCTTCGATCAGTGCCTAGAGAATCCAGAACTCCAGGTGAGTAAGAGGAGAGATCCTTTATAATAAAATTACTCAAGTCAAAATAAAGTAAAAAGTACATTAAAATAAAAAGCCTTACTTTAAATGTAACTAGTTACTGCAGTACTCTGCACCAGTGAGGGAAACCCACCTGGATCATCCCAAATTCACTCAGGCTTTTGTTGAACTGCTTCCTGCTGACGGCGTACTCAGAGGTCAACTCTGAAGGAAAAAAGAATAAAACCAGTCACCACTTCTGTTTCTGGGAGTGGATGTATACACAAATATTTTTTTATTACCCATCAGCTTTTTGATCATTCCAGCACAAGAACTGCCCATGCTGAACCTCCCAGAGTTCAGGATGTTCATGGCGACCTGTTCGACAAAGACAGAACGTCATTAAAACAACACGTATGAATGCAAGTCAGCATGAAAACGGAGCAGAGTTTACCTTGAACCCGCCTCCTACTTCTCCGATCACGTTTTCCACAGGAACAGGAACGTTGTCGAAGGACACTTCACACGCTTCAGAACAAAGAACAATGATGCCATCATCATCATCATCGCCGCTTAGTATCAGGGTTCTCATTTATAGAGACTCATATTAAAAGTGTATGTTTGGTCAAAAGGTAGAAACAACGTACACACACACACCAAAAAAAAAAATCGGATTTACAAAACCGTACCAACAAACACCAGCAATTTTCCTGATAAACCACAGCTGTACCTAAACGTTTTCAGGTTCTGCACTCAACACACCCACATGCAACCATGAATTTCTGACGTAAAACACCTCCGGAATATTAGTTTTACGTCAGGTTTGTTTTTTATGAATTAAAACACACACACCCACACACACACACACACATCCACACACACACACACACACACACACACACACACACACACACACACACACACACACACACACACACACACACACACACACACACACACACACACACACACACACACACACACGTTTCAGGACCCGGTCAGTGCAAATGCAAGCTTTGCGAACGAGACTCCGGGAGACGGATCCGATCGTTTTCCCAGAAACGGCAGCAGAGAAATCAGACGCATTGTGAGGACAAAAAGAAACCAATACGTGGTTTGACTTTTTTAGCAAATGAAATATGTTTATCTGAAAGCATAGCATGCATGCAGGTAAATACCTTAAAGTGTGTTTCAGCTTTAAGCGTTCACAGATGAGTTTTGCTCATTCTTCTATGAAAATCAGTCAAACTTAGTTTGACTGGAGGGAAAACCTCTATTTACTTTGAGCAAAATCTCTTCAAATTCTTCCCCTTTCAAAAGGAAGGGTTGGATTACATCAAGGTACAACCATGAAGTTTGTGGTTGTAGCACGACGAGACGTACAACTTTTCCGTGGGTGTGAATACTTTTGCGTAGCAAAGGTAAAACGGCCTGAAGGCCACATGTTGTCGGTATGAATGAACGGCTTACTGTAGGAACCCCTGATGCCGAGTTTGTCCTCAGGTTTGCCGCTGCTGATGCCCCCAAAGGCCTTCTCCACGATGAAGGCAGTGATCTTGTCTTTCTTCACCCCGTCGACTTCCACTTCGGTCCGAGCGAACACCGTCATAATGTCTGCGAAGCCTCCGTTCGAAATCCAGAACTACAAATGAGAGAACCGACAAGGAACTCAAGAGTCGCCCCACAGAAACAGAGACATGCAGGGACAGGTTTTTTCTTTTGTTGTTTTTTTTTTGTAAAATTAATACGCGTCACCTTGGAACCGTTGATCAGGAAATGTTTCCCGTCTTCAGACAGAGTCGCCCGAGTCTGAATGGAAGCCGCATCACTTCCACTGAAGGGAGAAGAAAACAAGCATGAAACATGAAACTGGTTGGCAGTGTGAAGCTAAGAAGACCAATGAAAAAAATTGAAAAAGAAAGAAAAAGCTTCAGAGGAAACTCCGGACCGGGTCACGAAGGAGTTGTTGGGATCTACTCTGTACCTGCCAGGTTCTGAAAGACAGAAAGCGGCGATGTGTTCTCCTGAAGCCAGCTTGGGCAGATACTTCTTCTTCTGGGCTTCGTTCCCAGCGATCAGAATCCCCTGAAACCACACGACTCTTAACACGCACACCTGCCACGACTTCGACGGGGTCAGCAGACCGAGGCTCGACGCAAATAAAGCGGCATGCGACGGCTACCTTCAGACCGATGGCTTGATGCGCGGCCAGAGTGACGGCGATAGAGCCGTCCAGAGCGATAATCTCGTTCAGCCGGGCGTACATGGTGTTGGAGAGTCCGAGGCCACCTGTGATCAGGAAGCCGGAGATGTTTTATGAACGCATTAGAACACATGTTGAGGATTATCTGCTTTTAGGGAAGGACCCAAAAACTGCACTCAAGTGAGAGCAGCACCACTTCAACCTATTTTTACTCATTCGACAGTAAAATGTAGCCGTCCGAAAAATTGCTAGAGTGAGAGTGAAAAAAAAAAGTATTTGGTAAAAAAAAAAAAGGAAAAAAAAAAAGCGACTCACGTTCTGAGTGACTGATCAAAAATCAAAATTATTTAATATTTAAAAATTACACCATCTGAGCGACCAAAATATGAAGATAAGTGTTTAAACGACAACAAAAAATAACAACAGAATCAAGAAAAGAAAAAATAAATACATTTTCCAAAACACTTTCTTGGAATATTGGTATTTTAAAGACCAAAATCACAATAATTTATATAAATAGCATTGTTACAAAATAATCAAAATTACACAAAAGAAACTTTTTCTTTTTACAATACAGAACTTCTGATATTTTAACAAAAACTGCAGCTGTGTGTGTGTGTGTGTGTGTGTGTGTGTGTGCGTGTGGTGATTTATTTGGTTAAAACATGTTTGTTCTTCATTCAGTGTGGAAAGAATCCAAAATTTTTACTCTAGTAAGAGCAGCAGCATTTTAGAATCAAATCAATCAAGTAAAAGTGCAGTGTAAGAAAAATTCTTCTAAAAGTAAATTCATTCAAACTCGTTGAAGGATGGGGGGTATAGTGTGCACTGCTGGGATCCCACCGTCTCACCGTATTCCTCAGGGACCATGATTCCAAACAAGCCCAGCTCCTTCAGCCCATTCAGAGTCTCTGCTGGGATTTTGGCTTCTCGATCGATTTTCGCTGAATCGACTGGAATTGTGGAGACGGGATGGAGGGGGTTAAAAAAGACGACACTTCAGAAAAGAGCTGACTGACCAGTTGACTCCAGCACTGCAGATCCTCCTCTCTCACCTTCCTCGTTGAAGAACTTCTCCACCGGTGCAACAAACTGCTTCACCTCCTCCAGCTCCTCGTTTCCGATCTCTGGATAAGGGAAGACCTCGGCCTGGAGGAGACAAATACCACCACTCCAAATGCTGCCTTGTACATAAACATTGTGGATTTCAGTTGTTTTGTTGCCATCTTTTGATTCTGGTTTGGAGAGGCAGGTGCAGAAACCCAAAGAGTAAAAGTAACAGGATGAACATGGACTAAAAACTGGACTAGAGACAGTTTTAATGCGCCTCTGTGGACTTGCTGCTGATCTCTTTAAATCTTGACTAAAAACGCACCTGTTTACAGTTGGATTTGACACGTAATCGATTACAAATTTGATGATTATTGGCTGAAATGGCTGCAATTGTACCTACATATTAAATGTGTTTTATTTGCATTGTTATGTCACTTGACTTAATGTACTTTTTGATTATTAATTCTACGTTGCGTGACTTTGTGTTTATTATGCAAAGCACTTTGAAATGCCTTGCTGCTGAAATGTGCTATACAAATAAAACTTGATTGATTGAATTTCAGGTTTTTGGTGAGTTTTCTTGCCCTGGTTGACTCAGAAAGTGAGCTCAATACCTTCGTACCGTTTCGCCTTGTTCACCAGAAACTTCCTGCGTTACCTTGTTGATCTGACCCAGGAACAGATCCTTGGCGTAGGCCAGACTCCTGGAATGAGTCCTGATCGTCCTCCGCTGCTGGACACGCAGCGCCTGTTTCCCCGCGTGCCACGCGCGACAGACGAGTCTGTCCTTTCCGCGTGAGAAAGCTCTGGACAGCGCGAGGAAGCTGTTCGCGTTCATTATGAAAGCCTTAAAACAACCTCCGTGGACTCGCCTTATCAAACACCGGCGGTGTGCCCTTTCACCCGTTTCTGACGCATGTTGATGACGTTGGTATTGTTGCCGGAGATGCTTTCAGTGTCCCTCGTAAAATATATGTCTGAGACATAAATAATAGATTTAAATAAAATTAAATAAATTATCTCTTTAAATTGAGATAATATCTCAAAATAATGAGATAACACCTCATTATTTTTTAGATATTATCTCAATTTAAAGAGATAATTTATTTTACTTTTTAAACAGGATGGTGGAAACGGGCTTCCATAGGATTCTTGCTCATTATTCTTTTTTCTATTTTTTTACTTTTCTCTCAAAACTTAAAACCATTTTTAAAACACTCTTTTTAAAAAAAAACTTCAAACTATTTCTGAAAGCACTTAGAAAGTTTTATCGTTTATTTTTTATTTATTTATTTTTTTGTCTGGCTGCTCGTCATGAAAGTTGCTTTCTTTCTTTCTTTTTTTTTTACCTTTTTTTTTTAAATGTGAATTTTCTAAGCACAACAAGCCCGACCTCACTGCTTTATGACGTCACTGCTTCAGTGATGCTGACGTGACACGCGCTTCAACAAATTACTGAACACAACACCGCCACGCCTTCGGCACAATAATAAATTAAGGAAACACAATGACATTGACAGAACAGTAGGAAACATTGCTGACTGAAGGACAGAACCTTTTACTTTAGAACTATAAGTTACTTTTACAGACATCTTTTACTTTATATCAGATCCCTGGTTTGGAATGTTTTAATAAATGTCACATCATGACACTGTGAAACAAGTCATGCCTAAGTGTGGGGAAGGTCCAGCTCTTCCTGATGATTTAAGGCCTGTGACGCCATTAAATAACGATTACAAACTTCTGTCCCACATTCTTGCCAACAGATTAAAATCTGTCACATCCCAAATTATTTCTGACAGTCTGGATTTCTAAGAGTACAGATTCACCTCATTTTGGACTTTTAGGGACTTTTGGACTTCATTTTCAACTAAGGTTGAAAATGAAGGTTTTGAATTATTTTTAGACTTTTACAGCCTTCGGTATGCTAGAGCATGCATTTCTGTTCAAACCTTAATATCAATTTTTGTTTGTTTGTGTCCCAAACCTCGCAAAGATTTGAGACCAGCAGAGTTTTCAGTCAGTCCATCTCCTCAAACAACCTGAATGAAGTGTCTAAAGTTCTCTAACTTGTTGAAGCATTTTCAAAGGCTTCAGGTCTTAGATCAAGCTTAAACAAATGTGAAAATTCACCTTTGACAGGCTGTCGTGTATCTGCCGGTTTTGCTAATCCTGTAAAATCCAGTGTCAAATATCTGGGTGTGTATATAAATGAAAAAAATGAGTCTTATATGGATGCAAAACTCCCACTGTATGTCATGACTCCAGTAACCAGCTCATGTTCAGCTGCCACCACCTATAGGAAGAGCTCAGACAGTCATTCATTCACATCAACCACAACTGAAACGAAGAGGCACTTCAGCTCTTATAGTGCATCATTTTATTGTGTTCTCAATAATCGTCACAGGACTCGTTTGACATTAACAGGGAATTTGTCGACTTCCAAACAGAGGGCCTTCCCTTCGACTCCCACGCTCCACCGCGAGAGACGGAGGGTGGAAGTAAAGGTCAGGAGCACGAAGACCGTGTGACCTTCCTGTGATCTCCTGATAATTCAGTCCTATCAGAGGCAAACAGCAGCAGCTCTGGGACTATGTGTGAAGACAGGGGGAGCAGGGAAGTACTTTCAATTCACCTGTAGACATTGATAATGATCATACCTAGTTAAAAGTATAATTTACAGAGTATGTACAAGCATTTATCATTCTTTGCTACCACAAAACAAAAAAAAATAACAACAAAAAAATAAAAACATCATCCATTTCCAAACTGCTCCACGTTTAAATCACAGCAGGTTTTCACACTCAACGTGTCGCAATGTGCAAAGAGCGGACAGGAGCGGATGACACGGCAGAAATCTGCATGTAAACAAGCAACGTTGATGAACCAGATTGTTTTAGTCACACATGTTGATGATAGAAAACAGTAAAAAAAAAAAAAAAAAAAAAAAGAAATTAAACATTTTTAAAAAATGGACAGATCAAAGAAAACGTAGGCATCAACGGCATGCAGCAAGGCATCTCACACTGAATTTGGACGGGCTGCTGAGATTGTTTGAGACTCCTTCATTAGCTGAGCCAGGCCGCTCAGCGGGGGGTCAGCGTCATGGTTCATGGATCCGTTTTGTTATTTTTGTACTCAGAACAATGACGGCGTATTACAGATGGTTTGTGTTTCAGTGTTTTCTCCAGCTTTGCCACAGACGCATAAACTTTCTATCAATCTCTTTATTTGTACTTTTTATCTATGTAGTATTTCTTATAAACCACTGAATGTGAATTATTGGACCAGTGAGGAAAACTTGAAGCTCTGTTTATTTTTAATTTTTTTTAAAATGGAACAAAGACCACAGACATGCTGGAGAGTGAATTTTCAGATATGTGCTTTTAAATTAGATGATTGGTCTAAAATGTGTTCACTGTAAGGTTTAGAGCAAATTAGTTAGTAGAATGAAAAAAAAAAGAAAAAAGAAATCGAGTCGTCGCAATGTAACCCGAAGATAAAATATAAGAGATTTCCTTCTGAAAACTAAATCAGTGGCGTGATTTACATTCACCTAGAGCATGAATGGAGGCGTGCCTTCACCCACACTTCAAAAACACCAAAACTTACCACATAACTTTGGTGTAGTTTCTAGAACAAACATCTTGGATCACTTTAAATAAGCCAAAGCTAAATTAGAAGAAATTCCTCAGTTTGATGTAGGAGTTTGTTTTAAGTCATTAATTTCTTAATGTCGATTAAAAAAAAGTTTTAGTTTTGTTGGCAGATTATTTGGAAATTTTCTTGTCATAAGTGAAATAATCTGCCAATGGAACGAGAATGTGTTCATCAACATTAAGGAAATGAAGTCACTCGTTAGTTTCGTCTTATTTCAGGTGTGCAAAGATATATTTGCATAATAGACAAAGAAAATTGAGTTTTTTTGCAGGGAAGTAGACAACTTGAAAACTAATGTTCAGACTCTCTCCTTCCAAAAACAGGCAAAAAGATTTCAGCTTGTGGCGACTTTCATTCTCCACTTTGGTGATGCTCTACCTCTTGAATGCCTTTTATAAAATCCACATAAAACGCACCTCTTCTGTAGTCCTGTCCTAGGACTCTTCGATTACCCGAGACCGTTTTGGGCGTTTCTGTTGCCCGACTCAGTGTGGAAGGGGTTCACCACGTCCAAATCCACGTGGACGCCAGCTGCACTACAACACCGGAGGACATGATAGAGGACACCGCAGGACAAACAGAACCGTCAGGAGACACCGAACAAATAAAATCAGACAAAACAAGTAAAACAACAACAAAAACTCTTACATAAAAAAAAGAAAAGAAAAAAACAGACTTTATGTGCTGATATTTGTCACTCTCGCCAGTGGAGATGCTACAGAGGCATCCAGCTGTCCCTTAATATGTCTGCTGGGTCGCTGATATACAACTGCTTTCTGAAGTGAGGAAAGCGTCCTGGCTGCCGTGACAGTGACTCGGCGTGGCGTCTTCCAAACATGTAGAACCCTTCGAGGTAGCGGAGCAACACAGAACTCAGATTTTTTACTTCTTTTTTTTTTTTTTTTAAACTCGTTTGACTTAAAAAAAAAAGAAAAGCAGAGCAGATTACAGCCAGTGACCTGATAACCAGCGCCACACTGGTTCCTAACTGCGGACCCCTCGTGTGCAGCTCTACTGAGAGTTTAACTGAAGCCATTTACTTGGCATTAATTAGAATAGTAACAGCCAATAATATTATTATTATTTCTACAAAATATAATGCACAACAGACATTGAGTAAGTTTCAGTTACTACCTCGATAAATCCTGTCGGTAATTGGCACATTTAGAACCGCTACCAGAGATATATCACAGTGCACTGTGAGCTACTGCTACATTAAATAGCCACTGGTTCTGCGACGCCGTCTGGCGTTTTCTGTTAAATACATGGAGGTTAAATCACGTTGCTTTTGATGAATTTGAGACGCACAGTGCTGCACTGCACAAACACAAAATCCTACCAAGTCATTTCGATCTAGTTTCTTGTGCAAATGACTTGAAATAAGGCAAAACTAAATTGCAAGTAACTTTTCAGTAAGATCAAGTAGCGAACTTTAAGTCTGTAATTCCTTGATATTGATGGAAAAGCATTAATTCTACTGGCAGATTATGTCACTTCTAACAAGATATTTTCCCCATGTTATAAGTGAAATAATCTGCCAATGGAACTAGAACTTTTCCATCAATATTACCTATTATTGACTTAGAACAGTGCTTATCATTTCCAGTCCTCTGGGGCCCCTGCTCTGCATGGTTTGTTGTGCCTCTAGTCCAGAACAACTGATTCAAATGATGGCATAACCATCAAGTACTGCAGAAGCCTGTTGGCCACCAAAATATTCAATCCAGATGTGGAATTGAATATTTTGGGAAACACCTAAACAATGCAGGACCTGAGGACCGGAGCACTGACTTAGAGCAAAGCTGCTTTATCTTGCTGAAAAGTTACATATCAGTTAGTTTCGTTTTATTTCCAATGTACTAAGTAGGGATTCATCTGTGCCGATTTTCTTCATTTTGGGAGTTCGGTGATCGACTGATTTGAAGCCGATCTTATCTGGTTTGGCAAAGGTTTAAGAATGAACCACTTTCCCCTTTTGCTCTCCGGTGAGAAGGTTTGACTGACAGACCAGCCCACCAAGTCATGTCTGCACGTTTACAATTGACAATAGTTGCCCCACTGAGTTGGCAACTTAAATGACCAAAAAAATGACCAATTTTGGGGTCATTTCAGACCCCAAAATTGGTATCGGTCAAAATCGGAATAAAATATCGGTAATCAGTGATTGGCCAGAAAAATGCAATTGGTACACGTCTAGTACCAAGACATTTGCTCTAGAAACTAGACCACATATACTTGGTACGATATTTTGTTCTTCTGTCGTGCTCGTGGTCTTTGCACGAGTCTGTCACTCCTAAAGCAAGCAGACAGAACCTGAAATGAAATGCAGGGTATGAAGGAAGGAGAGTTTGCAGAAACAGAACGGCAAACAAAGTCCATGCTCAAATCTGGATTCATCTGCAAACCAGAGACGCACAGTGTGACGATGTCATCCGGCAAAAGTCTTCACAAGCTACGGTTCGCCGTGATCCACTCACACCACTGTGCTGATGCCGCTGTGTTTGGGCTTGGTGCTGCTGCTGGGAACCTGAGACGTTGGCGTCGGCGTCGGCCCATGGAGGTGGCCGCCATGGCCAGAGTGGCTGCTGTGGCTGTGCTGCGGGTATGGCGGGAAGGGCGGCTGCTGGCCGTGAGACGGGGGCGCATGGCACTGGTGGGGCGCGTGCTGCACATGGGGCGGTGGGTGGTAGTGATGGTGGTGGTGGTAAGGCGGGGGATTCTGGGTCACGTGGCAAAACGGGACGGGGTGAGGATGGACGGGAACAGATGAGTCCGACTCCGCTCGGGCCGAGTGGTGCAGGTTAGCTGGGTGCGGGGCGTTGGAGACGAGGCTGGGGTGGGGGCTCTGGGGGCAGGGCGACTTCACCCGCCTGGTGCCAAACAGAGACCCCAGCAGAGAGGAGGAGCTGGGCAGGGAGTATCCGCTGTGACGGGACGCACAGTCTCGACCCGAAGGGGTTCTTCGCCGCATGTGAGGACTGCTAATGATGGAGCCCTGCAACCGAGAAAACAAAACATCATGGAAACTTCATAACCACACAGATGCAGGAAACATGTTGAACTTCCCTAACACAACTGTGCACTATCTATTATTGAATAAATGGAAGACTAGAACTACAACAGTCAGCTTCCATATATGGGTCTCCAGGTGACTCTAAGGTCAGCAGAGCAGCATGACAACATGAGTCTGAACTACAGTTAGTCTAGTCATGCAGTGAATCCATCAGCCACAGCAGAACGCATGCACAGTGCTGCAAGCAGACGACGGGAACTGCAAAACTAAACAGCACAGCACACAGAAACAATAAGTCTCACAGAATCTGCACACCGAGAGCGAGCAACGCAAAAGGTGGCCAGAGGCGGCTCGGCAGCAGCCGCTGGCTACTTACTTCCAGATTGCTGTCTAGTGATCCTGCACTGCTGCGTCTCCCGCGCTTTCCTGCCCAGGACACGCACAGGACAGATAAGACATGCCCGGTTAAAACATGGAGGTGCACACGCCCTGTCTGTCCACAGCGGGGCGATGTGGACACATTCTGAGAGCCAGGCGCTTGGTTGAGAGCCTGACTTCAGTCCGGGTGTTCGGGAATCAGGGTTGGGGACAAAACTTATTCAAACTAACGGCAGAACATGGAGTCTGCGTGAGGAAAGTGAGGGTTTGTTTGGGCGGCTACATGGTGAGCTAAGGTTCTACTAGCAGGAGACTCACATAGCCACAGATAAGCTTCACTCAGAGAGAAATGAGGGAAGAGTTTATTCATTTTCAATATCATTTCCAAATGAGACAGAAAAGTAAAACACCCCAGGTTAAGATAATGTTAATTATAGCTTCCCACAATGGAGCTGGCACCATTTATTTAACTTCTCATCTTTCTTTCAGCTTAGAAATGGCAAACCTGTGTACAGAGACAAAACTTGCTTTCTCTTTTTTATCTCTCCCTTCTCTTAAAGTAAAAGATGAGCTCCAAAGGGAGGTTTGTCAGAACAGACGGGTGGGCGGCTTGCAGAAGCTGCTCGGCGTGTCTTCTCCTTCCGCGAAAACTTGGCGGAAGAATAATAAACGTTGTCTGTGGTTCTTTTTATGTAGGCTGAGAAAATACCTGTCACTTTGGTTTATGTCGTAATAAAATGCACTGAAGGTTGTGGTTCAAAAAACGAGTCAAAAGAAGTGAGCGTCATGTATTGTTTTTCAAAAGCTGTATGGGGAACAGGCAACATACCTTATCTTTTATTCTCAAAAGCAGTCAAGCTAAAGCTCAAACCAGTCGGTTCATTCAAGTGGCATCCTGGCGTTTTTCTGCCAATGCTTTTCTGCACTAAAGCATCTTCTGCCACTGCTGCTCGCTTTACATGAATAACTGGAGAACTTTAATCCCTCCTTCTTGCTAAGAAGCTTGGATTGATCACAGTGACCTACAAAGCTGTGTTCCTCCCTCCTGCTAGCAACGCAAGCCTATTAGTGGGCGTCTTCAAGTGAAGAACACCCGAGTGTCCCGGCAGTGGCGTCGATTCCCTTCCCTGCTTCTGTACTGGGAGTCTGACTATCCAAATCCTCCTTTTCCCAAACGTCCAATGAAACCCGAGTGAAAAGTGTCATGCCGGCATCCGGCTGGAGTATTTGCTTTTCTCCAACCAAAAAGTAGAACAAGATGGAAGCCAGGGCACTGATGCAACATTCAGACCTTACCTGCATCTGAGAGATCCCGCAGGGAGCTGCTGAGCGCGCTCCTCTTTAGGCCCTCGCCGATGGCATAACTGTCGTCCAGGCTGGCGCGGCTCACGTTTCCGTTCCCAGTTTCCTTCTTTAACCCAGAGCACTGGGACATGCTGGGCCTCACCAAACCCTTCTGCTTCTCCAGCTCAGCTGCGCACCAAACAAAACACGCAACATCCGAGTGTCTGTCGCTTGGGCACCGCATATTCAAAACAAATGAGAATGTGAAGAGAAAGGACAGTAGAAAGGCACAGCTTACATTCTATCCGATACTTCTCCATCTCTTGGACTTCAGCAATAGATTCTCGCAAATCGTCGGTAAACTTCTTGCGGTCCTGAGGATTTGGAGCATTGAAATTGATGAGGACCTTGATGTCAGCGCCGGGAATGGCCGAGGTCAGGCGCAAGCCATTGGGATAATCTAAGAAAAAGAAACAAAAGATCTTCTAGGAGTGCTTCCTATCTGGAGAACTCCTAAATATTACATTTTATATATTTAAATCGTTTCATGAAGACAGAGAGGAAACTGTAGCTCAAATAACAGCTGAGTGCCGTCTTTGAATGTCCACAGTGTGATCTGGGCGTCCTGAGTGTCTGCCGAGATCAGGCCTCTATAGTTGTGTTCAAGTTTTTTTCTAATGTTTAGCTACTTCATCTTAAAACTATTTTTTGTTAGTTGCTGCTGCTGGTGGCCCAAAGCATTGTGGGATGCCTTGCTGGCTGATCCCAAGTGCCACACTTGAACCAGTTGCTAAAACTAAATAGCAAAGGCATCTTGCTATTAAACGTTATAAGGGAATAAGCTCTTTGGTCTTGACTTTTCCAATATTCTTGAACTGGTCTGAAGTGTTATTCAAACAAATTAACAGCTTAATGGTGAAATAATCATCAACTAATCATCCTCAGAGTAGATATTAAGCCAAAACTATGCATGGAAAGTCGTCTCTGTTTGTAAATACGCAAATATGCAACTCCTCAAGTGGCAGTTTCAGCTTCACCCAGTTTAAGAAAAAAATATACAAAGAAAAATAAAATATTCTGTTGACTGTCTTCTTTGCAGAAAGTCCGAATAAAACAGTTTAGTACCGAAAACACTTTGGAGGGAGAACCCAACCTGAAAACTCAGAAGCCGAAATATGTCCTTATTTTCAGTGTTTGCATTGTGTTTAAAGCAGAACTGTGACTAAACATGAAACTTATTCAAATAAATAAAGAAATCATACTTACACTGATTCTCAAACAGCAGAACTTGCATGCTGTAGAGCGAGAAGGACTGACGAAAACTGTATGTCACCGAGTTCTTTTTCTTTTGAAATATTTTGGTAACCTAAGAAAAATAAGCAGATGCATCTTGCTGAGACTCATTGATAAGCAGTGAAACCTTCATTGCTAGCGTTTGTGGAAGAGTGGTTTGTCACTAGTGAACGTACCACGAGCAAGTCATTAAAGAGGAAGATCTCCCTCTGGTGCAGACCAAGCTTCTGGAGCTTGTTGGGATCAGGTACTTCAAACAACCTGCAGTAACACACCAGCCTTCGGTGGGGTAGCGACAGCACCTGCACATGATCCGTAATCGTCCCAGAGTCAGAGAGGCAATGCAATATCTCTCCAGCAGATACACATAGATCATTTGAGAAGTGTAATTAGCAAAAGCCGCCTCACTGCTGCCAGTTCAGCAACCTTCTCGCTATATATTTAGCGACATTTCGGTAAATCGGTAACTGACCAGAAAACTGCAATTGGTGCAAAACCGAGCAACAAAATAACATTTACAAAGAACAATTGGTAAAAAAAATTCAGCTTGCAAAACTTCAAAGATGGTGGAGACTTCTAGACAAAAAGCAATTGTAAAAACCATTGAGCCTGACATTTTGCATAACATTTTTCATATTTTTCATTTCATTCATTCCCACTCAAAAGTGTTGCACAACTGTTTTCTTTTGATCTTTTAGAAAAAAATATAGTAAAATACAACAAATGTTCTTTGTGTAACAGGGGCAGGACGAGTCAAAGTTCAAGGGGCATGAATGCTCCCATGAGAATGCTACATATCAACCCATAGCAATGATACTTACACAGCCAAGACCTTGGTGTAAAGACCCGATCTGCAATTACAATGAAAACACATTTTAAGATTATTGAAATCACAGCAAACATCCTGGAATATTTTCCAGGATTTTTTTTTCATAATAAAGACATTGTTTTGGCATTTTTGCAATTAAAAATCAACCAAAACCATTTGTCACTGTTCCTATTTACGCTTTAAGGTCAAGTTTTAATGCATTTTTCAGTATATCCACATGAAGGGCTCTTCAGAACTGATGTCTAACATTATGAAGACAATAGCTTCACATAAAGAACAAAAGAAACCTTACCGGTTTTTTCCCAACAATCAGTTTTTCCACTTTCTGAACCTGGGACACGTGATCTTCATTAGTCCTGAGCTCTCGCTTTCGAATCCGCTCATATATCCCCACCAGCATCTCTCGGGGTATGTCCTCCCCGTCGTCAACACCTTTCAGAAGATGAGGAAGAGAGCGTGAGAGAGGAAGAGTTAGTTTCCTTTTTATGGATTTATGAATGCAAATGAACTGCTGATTTTAGACTAATCTTGCTTTTTGCATTTTTAGCCAGCTTATTTATTCTTAGCTAGCTTATCTATTTTTATCTAACATATTTATTTTTATCTAGCATGTTTATTTTTATCTAGCATGTTTATTTTTAGCTTGCATATTTTATTTTTAGCTGGTTTATTTATTTTTAACTAATTTCACTGCACAGTCACACTTTGGCTTGCAGAAAGAGCGCAAAACTATAAAATAAACCAAAGAAAACTGGCCAATCAGATTTAGGTTTAGTTGATTTTTGAATAACGCCCTCAGTGCAATGGGATTTTATGAGATAAGACAACACAAATTAGTGTGTAAGAGTGAAGTGGGGACTTTTAGTTTTGGGCTTCAATGTGACAAAATGCCCCTGACAAGTTAGGGGTTAAGTTTATGGCGAGTTGAATGTTGAAGCAGAGATGTGACAGTGAGCTGGAAGCTGTGAGTGGAAGGAAAACAAAGCACCTCGAAGGTTTTTAACAAAGTCTTCCAGTTTCATCTTCCTCTCAGGCTTCACATTGGGGCTGTACATGTCGGTGTTGAGGAGGATGATGGCGAAAGCGAGGATGAAGATGGTGTCCGGGTTCCTGAACTGTCTCACCACACCGGGGTTGCAAATGCAATAGCGCTGGCTAGAGATCAGAGACACAAACACACACTCAGAAAGCCAAAAGGTATTTAGATGGCATCATTTGTTGTTCTGTTATCAAGAAACCACAGATATGTCACGTGCATCCCAACATATGTATGCATGAATTACAGAAAAATAGGCTGTTTGAAAGTGCGAGACACAGCCAAACTTGATGTCCCAACAATGTTGAGTCGCTCTACCGTCAGACAAAATCTGATGATGTTGGGATTCTAAAAAAGATATTTTATCATGTTTTCAGCTTTTATTCACATGTGACAGTTTTTCAGCTGCTTTGCCAAGGATCCCACTTGAATTGGAGCCAATTTCTGTTATGTGCACGCAGACAAAATGACAGAGAAACCCACAACGGTCAAATAACTCGAAACTGACAAAAATACAAATTAAACTTACTGAAAATAAGACATTGCTGTTGAAATGTGGCTCAGCAGAATCATTTTAAAACATAAAACTAGTGAAACAAGTAAAATAGGAACCAGGAGATTCATAGGCGGATTGGTGTGACAATCTGCAGGCGTATGGGTTCTATCCCGGCCTGTTTCGGTGAAGATGTATTGATCTGTCCGCATTCCCATCATGACCTCTGGCCTCCAGCTCTGGACCTCTCTGCTTGGGCTGCTTTCCCCGTAACCCAAACACTGGATTAAATGTACGTAACTAATGGATGGTGCACAACCATAACAATGAGGAATGTGAAGCTACCATATGTATCCATGTTGCGCATGGATACCCCTGATGTCATGATGCAAGCCATCATGACTTTAAACTTTGATTAAATCAAACAAAATCTTCTAATATTTCTATGGAAATTACCATAATAAAAGCTGATAGTCCTGTTGCTTCTAAAAGAGCAAAGACAAAATGTCACAAAGTTTGATTATTTCATATTTTATGTGCTAAACTTTAGCATGTTCAAAAAGTACCAAGGTCAAAATTACAAGCCTTATTATGATTCTTCTAATATTTGTGACATTTGTGATTAAAACATTTTTTGGGTTGTTCTAATGAGGTATTCTAATTTTCTGAGACACTTAATTAGTTTTTGTTTTTTTCTTTTTTGCCTGTAATCCATTACAATTTGCACATGAATTGAATTATTTCAGTGAATCCCTATAAAATCCTTGTTTCACTTTCTTACTTTCTTGGCAAGAAATATACAATTTTATGCAAGATTCAAATTTTTTGAGTTGTACCAGCAAATGACATGTACCCAACACCCAAAAGCAGCTCTTAGGAATATTTTTCTATAACAACTACTTGCCACAATTGCAAAAAAAAAAAAATCAGAAGTCGGAAGTACATTTGCCTGACCCTCGGAGAACTTGAGTTAAAATACAAAACTAACCTTCAAGTGTGTTTTCTGCACTGCAGAAATGGGTCTGAAAGCTGGTGTGCTATGTTCATATATCGTAACAACTCTATTGGAATATCGTTGCGAGTTTTTAAACATCGTGGGATTCCTTACTGTAGTGTTGCTGAGCTGAACGTAGAAATGAATCCGTGTCTCACCTGTATGCCTCGATCAGCCGCTCGACCTTCTGTGCCTCTCCCTGAACTCTGATGTGTGCCTGGAATTTCCGGAGCCCTTCGTCCAGCTCCAGGCCCGAGAAGTCCATTTCGTCCACCACACAACTGGAAAAAAGACACACAGATAAAGAAGGAAAGTAAGAATCAATAACAGAATCTCAATGATAGCATTATCTTCAATTTTTTTATTTATTTATTTTTTTAATGAACCAAATAATTGACTGGTGATAAGATTCAGATGCTTTTATACTTGGTGTTAATGATTAGTGATCACAAACTAAATAGCAAATTTTTCTATCACATTAGTCGCGCAACTAAGAACCCCTTATTACTGAAACTCAATATGTGCTGTAGTTACCTGCAGTTCATCACTTTAAAGTGCAAAGTGCACATCGAGGTCTGACCTCTTTTTTTTAAACTTTCACCAATCTTGCATAGACAAAACACAAAATACTTCCAATTCACCACAGAGTTTCTGTGCAAATGGCAAATGAATTATATTCTCCAAATGAAGATCTTTTACTTCTGCCTAAAAAGAAACTGCACATCTATCAGAGCATGAAGCCACTTTCTTGAGTATGTTCTATTCCTGGTTGCTTCACTCGAGTCCCAACCACATCTGGCTTTGGAAAGATGATCTGAATTCATGCTCATGGAGGAAAGGCACACGGTTCTTCTGAGTTCAAACAAAAGCATCCAGACCAACAGAAGCGGGCAAAAATGAATCGCTCACTCAAGAACATCTCGGTTGAATTGTTTCTGTCGGTTGCCAAGGAATTCGCCAATCATCTGCCGACTCAAGCCTTTCCTCTGCAGGAGGAAGTGGGCAACACCCACCGGGGTGTCCGGGACGTAGCTTCGTTCAATCAGATACTGGATCCCCTTTTCTGGCTTCCTAGAGACACCGGAAAGAGAAAAAAATATCAAGAAAGACACACACAAAAAGAGGGAGTGGGAATACAATCCAAATCTGTGATTATCCCAGTTCACTAAAAGAAAAGTGTGTCAACAGAGGAACAGGGTTTGGAGAGCTACGGAATGGGATGAGGAGTGATTTTCTGATTGTGGTGCTGCTCCCACATGATTGCAAGGAACTTAAAAACTGACTCGGAAAGACACCAAATCCGCAATCATCCGTGATTAAGCAAAATCACCCAGACCCGAGTGAACCCCTGGACGTGAAGTGGAGCAGAACAAAAACTCAGCACAAACCGAGAACGGATATAAATGCGGCTCATTCGGCCTCGCTGCATATTCAGTGGCCTCTTTACCACAAACGTAATCAACAGGAACAAATCCAGTCAGTCATGACTTCTTATGCAGCCCTCTAGACTCCAGAGAAACCTAAATAAGTTGCTAAATATTATTTTATCATCAAATCAAAGCAGTTTTTCTCTGTATGCTGCCAAGTTACATTAATGTGAAAAGATTTTCAATGTTATTTAACTATTAGGAGTACTAATCAAACGCAGGCATGCGATTGATTAATAGATTAATGCTTAATGTTTGGCTCTCGTGACAAGTTATAGCGATATGCTAGCACATCCAATAAAGTTTTAAAAACATTATGCTTAAAAAAAAGAAAGAAGGAAAGTAAGAAGTACATTTCTGCAAAAGCTCAGATATTTTGAAATGGTCTAGAAGACACATGGAAATTTCTGAGCTCTAAAATTCAACAATTTGCTGGAAAAATATTCTAGAAAAATCTTGGAAATTTCTGAGCTGAAAAAGATTTATTCACAGGACGTTTGGGCCTGGTAGGTTTAACACACACAATGCAGGTACTGAACCAAACCTGCATTGTGTGTGCAGGTTTGACTTGTGAAGGACACCATGAAGAGGCAAGGGTTGTGATTAAAGTGAGTCACAGTCACAATTATTTTATAAGGAATCAGGATAGTTATTTTCGTTTGTTTTCTTATTTAGAGCACCTTAAAAAAAACGGTATCTTTTCTTGTCTTACTATAGATGTGTCCACTTAGTGGCTCTAAAGTCTCATTTTTTTTAGATCTGTTATGCTAAATAGGTTTAGTGGGGTGCACTCACTTGTTGAAGAGATTTAGGCCAATGCGGTAGTGTCTCTTGCGAATGATGTCGTTACTGAACGCCGGTGAGTCCCAGCTATTCCGAGTCTCCTTGTGGTACGTCTGTTTGCTGAGCGTCTGCTCCCTCAGGCTGTCTCTGGATGAGGACTCGGAGCTGCAGTTAATGGTGTCGTTGGAGTTTGATGTGCTGTTGATGCTGTCGTTGTCCCCGTCGGAGAAATCAGACTCTGATTTGCTCTGGCGGTTGGGTGTACCGTTGATAGCCAGGTGGGCTTCCAGCTGCCGGGCACAGTGACGGGATGGATCTTCTTCCCGGGAAGGTCCCCGAGGTGGCAGGCCGTGATCGGTGCTTTTTGGGCTGCTCTGTTGGTTGCTGGGGCTCCTGTCATAAGCGCTCTGTCTCTTTAATGAGCTGCGGTCAGACCGGTCGCTCAGTTCCACAGAGCTGTCGCTGGGGGGCTCGATGGTCAGTAGGGGTAGGTGGTCCACTCGCAGACGCTGCTCCTGGCATTCTAAGGAAGGCGTGCTGCGACAGCTGGTGTCCGTGTCCCCCTTGTCATCTTTGTGAGCAAGAGACCAGTAGTCTTGGGAGGAGTTCAGGGAACGCTGGCGCAGGTCTGACTCTGTGCTGGAGGGCCGGCCTACAGACTGAGAGAGAGGCAAGGGGGGCGATAGTTCTTCTTCATCAATGTAAAGGGTCACATCACTATAAGATGCAGTCATCTCATCTAGCTTGCGGTGCTCTAAAGCGCTGTGGGAGGATTCCAACTGGCGGCTGAGCTCTCTGTCCTTATCCAGGTGGCCTCTTCCTTGCTCTAAAGTGCTGTCTTCTCCATGCAGGCTGCGACAGTTCAGCGCGTCATCGATGGACTCGGCCAGAGATTTGACCTGCCTGGAGAAGGCATCTTCCAGTTCTGTGACGGCATATGTGAGGTCACTCTGTGTGCTCGGCATCTTCATTTGTACACCTCTCTCCCGGCCGTGTTCCGACTGCACCAGTGCACCGATTTTGGCGCCTTCATCGGATAAAGAGACGTGCTTTCCCTCGAAGTAGGAGCTGTGGACTTTTTCAGGTCCTTCAAAGGAAAGCTGCATTCTCATGTTGGACAGAACAATTCGTCTGGACATACGGTTTTCAGACATAGAACTTCGGAGACGCTCAAAGTTCTTATTCATTTGGTACTGGCGGAAGGCTGTTTGGATGGTACGTGCGGCATGCCGGGTTATGAAACGCCCGCCATATTTGCGTTCTAGCATCTCCACCTGCAAACAGAAAAAGAAGGATGGTCAGTCAGCTGTAGTCTCACGCCACTGCCAATTTTAGTCAACTGTGAGTAAGCAGCAAAGGTGGGATTGAGTAATTGTAGTGAAAGTCACAAGCCTGAAGAAAAGTCACAAGTAAAGGCATATAAGTCCAAAGTTGAGTCAATTCAAGAGTCCAGTGTTTTTAAAAGTTATGGCATCAGGATTTTTTGTGTCTGGGACGTAGACAGATGTGTCCATGTTTCTGAAAGTAAGAAAGGAAGTACTTCTTGAGTTGCCCTGTTGTGTTGACAGAGTAAGTAAATATAAACTTCTCGTTAAACTGGGTGAAAGCATTAAGCTGTAAGGGTGGCTTTCATCTCAAAAACAGGCGTCTTCTGGTGGCTGGTTGTTGCTCTGGACCTCATTTAGGAGGATTACAGGAAGAAGAACCTACGTATCATTTTGCTTCCAGCTCAAAATTATATGCTACATTATGCTTGTATATCACATATAATGCCAATAAAACTCAGTCTAACAATACTGGTGATTTTAAGATGTCGAGTAAAGTCTGACCTATTTACAGGTTAGACACAAAAGCAAAGGGCACAATGAAGAGTCAGTGATGTAATAGTCCAAACTAGAAACAGTGAACCTTTAAATCAACAACTTGAGGCTGAGCACAAGAAGAAAATCAAGCATGAGAGGCAGCAAAAAATAAAAGTCTTGCTCAGTTCCTTCTGTCTTTTCTCATTTAAGGCATTGCTGAGCAAGACAACAGGGCCCACATTGATGACTTGTTAGCAAACAGAGATTTAAGGATAAAATGAAAAGATTGGGTGACGGACGTTTAAAGTGGAGTTCAGAGTCTTTAATTTCACAGAAGAACTAACTTTTAAGCAAACATAACAAGTGGACAAGAAAAACAAGCATGTCTTCCACTTCTAGACTGCTTTTTAGAGAGGCACCTATCTCAGTGCATCATCAGCCATCATCAGGTTATGAGCAGGTCGTTCCCTCCCTCCCACCTGTTTGTCCTGGAGGTCCGACGAGAGCTCATAGCTCTCTGACATTGAGCGAGAGCGCTTGATGGCCTCTTCCTCTGCATGCTTGCGGAGGATGGACTGGGAGTGCTGGAGCTTGGGGCGGCGGGGTCGCGCGTGGCTCGGCAGGAAGATGTGTCCGTAGAGCTGGCTGTCCAGGTATTCCAGGCCAGGTCTGTCGCCGTGGGTCACCGGCTTGCAACCATAGATGACGCAGGGATCCACAGATACACTCACGTCGCTGCCAGGGGCGTCGCCTTCCACACTGCGACACACAAGCACATTCAGATCAGACGGGTCCCTGGCCGAGACTGCTCAGGAACACATGACTGATGTGAACAATGGCATTATGTAAGTGTATAAATTCATGATCATCTTACTTTCTCCTTGCAGGCGGCCCTAAATGACCATGCAGCAGAGGTTCTAGTCTTCATTAGAAGACTAGAAGCAACGAAATGTCAACAAACACTCGAATTATTGCAGTGTTATCATCAAGCAAAACCAAAGTGACTCAACATGTGTTGTCACAGCCTGAATCCTAACATCCACACACATCCTGGGCTCCCACAGCAGGTGATTAGGTGAGCAGCAGCAATCTGAGCAGAACGTAAAAAGCTAAATATTAACCACATCATATTTCACCTTCCTTCATGCCTTCACTGATGCTATAGTATCTTCAGGTATTTTAGATGTTTCACTATATGAGAAAAAAAATCACGAGACCCATCCAACTCAGCCTGTTTAGCTTTATTCACAACAAGCTTCCCCTTACAGAGACAATACATAGTTCCCACAAGTCTGAACCAGAAGAGATCTGCGCCATCTTAGTAGTAGGCAAGGGCATCGCAAAGCATGGATGAACCATGGCTTCAGCACCAACAAGAAAGCACAAGGACAGTCTTGATCAATGTGCGAGGGAAAGATACATGAACAAAATGGCTGCTGTCGGGATCGATCCGTAAGTGATGGAGAATAAAAACATGTCCGACGATGTGAAGGAGCGGCCTTCGACCTAGCATGACGCGGTTCTCTACTCAGTGAACACGAAGAGAGCGTGCACAATGGAGGAGCTTTGTGGCCTGAAATCCATGGATGCATGCAATCTGTGTTTCAACAGTTTTGTAAAGGACGTACAGACGCTTCGCGTGAATAACAATGTTCTGGTTAATGAGTGCATGTAGCAACACAGATTATAACTTTATTTATAAGCATTTCTGAAACGGCAAAAACTGACCAAAGTGCTGTTCATGATATAAAAACACTGAAATAAATCAGACAGTCACATAAAATAAGTAATTCACAACCTGACAATTAGAAGGACTGCTCTTAAAAGAGTTAGGATTTCAAGAACTACAGGAGATCTTTTCCTGACGTCAGTCATCACCATCCACAGCAACTCTTTGAAGGAGTTTGAGTTAGTAAGAGCTACAACAACATTTAATACTTTACTGGGATCAGTAAAGTATTTTTTGAATTTAATTTGAACAAGTTAGAAGGTTGTCTTTATCATGGCACATTAGTGGGAGAGCAGATGGCGCAGAATGCACATTTTATTTCATCGTCTTCAAAGAACGTGAAAAAAATCAGGAGATGAAGGAACAACAATGGGATTAGGAAACGCTGCACTCATATTCATTTTTACTCCAATATCCTAAAAGAAAAGCTAATGTCATAAACTACCTTGAGGAATCACCTACATAGAAAACAGGAAAAAAAAAGACTGGCAATAAAAACCTGACCATGGTGAGCAAGGTGTTCGTTATTTAGTGAGCGTATAGTCAGCCTCATTCACTCTGAAGGCAAGTGTAGTTGATAGTGAGCCAATTTGGAGTTAAAAAATATAAAAGCTACTTTTGCAATTCAAAAATAATGAGCCTAGACTTTTACTGTAAAGCAGTTGAAACACCACATCACTGTGACTGCACAGAGGGAAGCCAGAGCAAAGGTCAGAGCAGCCGACCAACTCAGACTTTCATCCAGTCTCATTAAATGAACATCCAAGCCAGAAAATCCCATATAAAGCACAAACAGGGGGAGCAGAAGCAGCGAAAGTCCCATTATTAGTGAATATGTCGATCAACACAGCGGCTCATTTTCTCTCAGTCATTTATTAGTAAGGCAAAAAACTGTATTCCCACCACAGTAAAGGGAAGTTCTTGGAATAATGTAGAACTAGCTCATACTCCAGAGTCACTGCTGCTTACATGTTAAACGAAGTATATACTGGAACTGAAATCCAGAAGCATTGTCTCCATACTGACCAAGAGAACCAATGGATGAAGTTACTTATTCATCTCCACATCAGATGACAGCAGAGTTAAATCAAAGAGCGAGAGCACAGCCACTCACCAATTATCTGAGGTCCTGTTCGAGGTCGGGTGCAGCCACCACATACTGCCCTCAGAGCTCCAACTAAACATCCACAGGCCGCTGTGTGTTTGTTAGTCCATCATTGAGCTAAATGGACCTTTGCTATGCTGAGCCTGCCGGGTCTGGCTTCCCTCCACAGACCTTTGAGGAGGGGCATTCACAGGGAAAGGGAGGCAACTTCCTCCTGAGGAAACTGGGTCATGCAGCTGCTGGAGTTCTGTTGTCCCACAAATTTGAAGGATTTCTAAAACATTGGAGGCCTTAAGTATAGAAACAAATAATGCAGAAAGAGAGAGCCATGCTGGGGATGGGATCCTCTAGTTATGAAGCTCCTGTCCCGTGAAAACAGCCAGGAGTATCAGGATCATGGCTTATAACTGGGGGAGATGACCTTTTCTTGACCTGGCAGGCATTTTTTCTCACTGTAAACACTTTTCTCTCAGATTTGACCTCTGGAAGTCTTTTCCATCGTGTCTGAGTCTTTCTCCACATGGGATACATGTGTCTCATGTACATGTGGCTTCTCATAAGTCTTTAAAAGACCAATTTGAAAAGGTATCCGGACAAATGTTCAACCATGGAAGTCACACAAACCTAAACGGCATAAGCATTCCTGGGGCGTAAGGCAGAGAATGCTGAAGATGAAAGCTTTCACTTCATCTGTTTTGATGGTTATGTTAAACTGGTGACAAAGGATTTTCTGAATGTAATTAAACTCTATAAATAAAAAGGTTTTACCCCACCTCCACCATGTTTCAGTGTGCCAAGACGCAGCATGACTGAAGGGATTAGTCGTGTGTATCCCTGGGATGAACGGTGATGTTTGTGAAACCTTCTGTACCAACGAGAAACGATTCAGTAAGACAAACGTTATCTGTCATACAGACAGATATGGATATTAGATTTTTCTAAGGAAAATAAGATGAGCAAGGGTTCAAAAGAGAAAAACTTCTATCTTGCAATCGTGGAAGTCGTTCTTTAAGAAGATCATAAGCAGTACAGAAGCACTGATCTCTCTGCTAACATGCTGTTTACTTTCCTCCAAAGACAACAACTGGTGTGCCAGGCTGTTTTCAACTAGAGGGATCGACAAAAATAGCCGCGTCTCTAGAGGCGATGAGCGGAGCGAGCCATCTGAACGGCCCGACTGGAACTGCTGGTATTAACTGAAGCCTCGGGTCGGAACAGCGCCTCCTGCAGTGTCTGCCTTCCCCCAGTTCACCTGTCCACACTGAAGAGCATGGCGGGAGGAGTGAATGTGATGTTTTGCGGTGCATGTTTTCCTTCCGCGATACATAAAAAATAAAAATAAAACAAGAAAAGAAAAGAAAATAACATGGCGTCTTATTTTCATGCTAACAGACTAAACTGGGACTAATAAAACTTACCATGCTCATAAACAACAGTTTGACTAAGAACAGAGTCAAACTGTTGTTCAGCCAGAGATGTGCTGAACACCATCAAGGGACTGCAGATACCAATTAGCTTAAGCTAGGATCTGATGTAGCGCTTTAAATTGTGACATTTATGTTTGAGTCGTACTTTGTCCCTTTATACATAAAGTTCATTATCAACAATCGGCCACTGTCTGAAGTCAGCCGATTTGCGTATTGATTGGCTATAACTGGTGACCGGCTAATCAAAAGAGGAAGCAATGCAGCCCTTTTCTGATCACTGAACGCATCATGCCGGGTCATCCCTCTCTACACCCTCTTCGGTGTAGAGGCTGTTGCTGAAGGAGAGAGACACAAATCTACAGCTTTTCAGCATCAGTAGGGTGTTTAAAACATTAAAACATGAGGACAGAGATATAAGATCACATTCTTGTTGATCTGTTTTGTTATTGAGTTTTCAACCTCATACTGGATGGAGAACTGTTGGCATCTTTCTGAAGATTTGTAATCTCAACCATGACTAAATACGACCAAGACTTCTGAAGGCTACTGAATGCAGATTTTATTTTGGGCTTTTTGAAAAAGGGGGCTGGATAAGAATACACAAATAGATTTTCCTTAAAAAAATTAAACCCATACATAATTTTTCTTCTTGTTTGTCCTTTTGAGCTACACAGTCCAGGTCTAAAATCCCAATAAAATCCAATAAAGTTTAAAACTGGAACGGAAAAAATGGAAGGAATATTAATGAGTGTCAATTTCATGAGGCACTGTATTGATCTCTTTGTCGGAGGTTTGAAAAAAATCTCCTTTTCATGGAGATATGATACTTCTCTCTCTCACATCTGAAACTGAACTGCTTTTCATTTCTCCTATTTTTCTTTCTAATTCCTTATTTAGTGTAAAGTCTGTTTTTTTTTTCCTGCGGTAAACTAGTGGGTTGCTATGGCTTTATGCTCCAGGGACACCTGCAACAACATGTGGGGGATTTTCACCTGCACTGAGACTCCTAAGCTGCAGCGGCCATAGGGTGACTCATTTCTACTGTGATGCAAAAGTGAAACTGAAGCATTTTTTACCACGGCATATTCAGGCCGTCGTGGAACACCAACTATCTCCCACAAATTTAAAGATGAAACTCCGATTTTCTAGAAAAATAAGGAAATCTGAGTTGGATGAGTCGAAAATTTGCTAGAAAAAAGTGACATTTTAAGATTAATCTCAGAGATTTAGTAGAAAAAGAAATGTGAAAATTTATGAGTTTGTAAAGTCAAACATTTGTTAAAAAAAAAAAAGACATTAGTCTCAGTTTCTGATTTTTTTATGCTGACAAATTTTTGACTTTTGTAACTCAGGAATCTAAAACACTGCGATACGTTTTCACTTGTGTTAAACTGCATCTCAAGACTTCCTGTTAGTTGCTGTAGAGTACTAATAAGAAAATCCCTCTGGGATCTTCATTGCCACATGTTAGGGGGGGTCTTGGCTGCACTTGCTGACA